TGAACGTGGGCAGGGTTTTACACTCCAATAAAACCTGTGGCGAAATCATCGACCACATAGCTCATGAGCTGAAGAAAAAAATGGCAAAAGACATTACAGAAAACCAAAGAAAACTCTGTGTTTTGGTCGATGAATCTACCACTATTAGTGGTAAAACTGTGCTTGTTGTGTGTCTACGCTCAGCATTAGCTGATGCTGAGCCCGAAACGTTTTTTTGGGAGCTGATCGAGTTGGATGGAACAACGGCTGATGACATCACAAAGGCGTTAATGAAGTGTCTTGGAAGAGATTTTAACGAGGACTTTTTAGGTCAGTGTTTCGTTTCTTTTGCATGTGATGGGGCTTCAGTCATGCTAGGGAAGAGAACAGGCGTTGCTACCCAGTTGTGTAGTAAATTCCCAAGCCTGTTTGTGTGGCACTGCTCCAATCATCGTCTAGAGCTGGCAGTTGGGGATGTGGTCAAGGAGGTCTCAGGGCTCAATCATTTCCAGATCTTTTTTGACAAACTCTATTCCTTGTTCCATGCCTCCCCCAAAAATCAGAGGCAGTTAGCGCAGTGTGCGCAAGCAGTCGGACAGCGTCTCCTGGTGATAGGGCGTGTTTTGTCCATCCGCTGGGTGGCTTCAAGTGAAAGGAGCGTCAGAGCAGTCTGGGAAAACTACCGAGTGCTTCATGATCACTTCACAAATGATGCAAACGACACGAGCAGGGATTCCAGAGACAGAGCAAAGTACAAGGGCCTGGATGATGTGCTCACATCTGCAACGTTTGTCAGCAATCTGGGACTGATGTACGATGCGCTCACAGAGCTCAGCGACCTCTCTCGGCAACTCCAAAAAAGAGAGATGACACTGCCTACAGCAGATAGGCTCTTAACTCGAGAAATACGAGTTTTTGAATCCATGGTCACCATGCCTGGCCCACACATGACTACAGTTCATACAGCTCTAGCTGAGAAGTCCTTCAAGGGTGTTGCCCTGCGTGAGAATGGCAGGCTTGTACAGATTCATGCAGGTCAGTTTTTCCGCAGTATGGTAGAGAATCTGAGACACAGAATGACTTCCACAACCTCCTCTCATGTCAGCACAAGAGAAATCCCATTACATGGCCGGGAGGCCAGGGACAATCAGCTAATCCAGGACATGAAAGTTATCCATCCTGGAAGTTGGCCTGAAGAGGAGTTAGACGTACAGTATGGGGACGTAGAGGTGCTACGTTTGTGCGAAGTGCTGAAAGTGGACAGAAGAGAGACTGTTCAGGGCTTTCGCGAATACAAGGAAACCAGGGCATCCCGTACACCTGCTGCCATGGAGCCTCTACTGAAAGCAGTCCGAACCATCGCTGTCTCCACTAGTGAGTGTGAGCGGGCATTCAGCTGCATGAACGATATCCTTACTGCAAAAAGGAATGCTCTCTCTGTCAGCCGACTGTCCAGCCTGGTTTTCATTAAATGTAATGGACCATCACTAGGACAGTTCAATCCGGAACAGTATGTGAGGTCCTGGCTGGCAAAGGGAAGGAGAAGTGCTGATGAAAGAGCCTGTCCAGCTCCAGCCCCTGATACTGATGTCCCCAAGGCCTTCTGGAGCATTTTCTAACAATGTGAAGTATATTGCAAAGCAGCTCACCCAGTGAGAAGACTTTTGGCATAATGTGCCGATTTGTACAGATCCTGGAGATAGAAGGACTTCAGACCAACCAGGGAGTTATCTGATCAGCTTGGTGTTCAATGTAACTCTTTACCATGGCTCAGACTTTGTTACTTGCAGTTACAGTTTCTCATTTTAGATTGTGCACATTTTGCATTTGTTTTTACATGTCCTTTGTTCATGCTCTTTATCATTTTTCTGAGTTGGAAAGTTAGATTGCATCATAGTTTACTTTATACATATGTGTATTCTTCAGTGGTGAAGTATATTGCAAAGCAGCTCAGCCATGTGAGAAGACTTTTGGCACTTTTTCGTTTTTCGTTTTCTGAGTTGGAAAGTTAGATTGCATTCAAAATGTACAGAAATACTTAATTTTGTTAAAGCTTTTTATAAAAAATGCTTCTGACCAGAGCTTTGTTTCCTTGTCATTAATGTTGAACACCACCAGAGGGGCTCTCACCTGAAAGGTCTCTGCTTCATGTGTCTTCAGCAGAAGATCTAGACTTTGATTGCTATATTTTCAGTTAATATTGACCTTACTGAGCTTTAGCCATATCCGCTGCCTATCATAAAAAATGTTAAGTACAGTGAACCTTTCTAAAATATACAGTAGTAAAGAGACAAACCCACCAGCATTATAGTAGCCACATTCTTGTTTGTGGGCTGTATATATAAAATTGACTTGAAAAAGTTGCTGATTTTAGAGTACTGGCACCTTTTTCATTCCAATTCAAGCACTGCAGATGAATAGATCGCCACTGGGCTTACAACTAAAACACAGCCACGCAAAAACTGCAGCATGTGTACGGCTCCTTATCGGTACTGCAATTGTTGGAAGTGCCGGAGCGGAGCGGCGTTCTGATGCTCTCCGTCAGAACTACACCCCTGTCAGACGAGACATATACCACGTGATGACACGTTGGGCTTGTGTTGTGTTCAAGGACCCTGACCTTGGCCAGGAAAAACAGGCACTCACATGTTTCATTATTTTTGCGGTATTTTTTGCGTGTGTTTATAAATTACCTCGAGGGCCACACCAAATGGTCTCGCGGGCCGTATACGTCCCGGGGGCCGGAGATTCCCCACCCCTGATATATATATATATACATGTGACGTATATAAACAAATGTGTATGTATTTACACGACAGTATAAGGAGTTATAATCAATCAATCAATAATTTATTTATATAGCCCAATATCACAAATGTTACATTTGTCTCAGTGGTCTTCACAGTTTGTACAGAATATCAGTATGACAATACGACACCCTCTGTCCTTAGACCCTCTGTCCTTTGACCCTCACATCGTACAAGGAAAAACTTCCGGAGAAAACCCACAGTTTAAAGGGAAACATGGGAGAAACCTCAAGGAGAGCAACAGAGGAGGGATCCCTCCCAGGACGGACAGACGTGCAATAGATGCCGTGTGTAAATCGAAAAGATAATACATTTGCAACATAGGTAGTCCAAATGTTTGGAAATGCATGTGTGTATAATAGGAAGATGAATCCACGAGGATGTCAGCAATCTTGTGGGAGCCATCAGGGAAGTAGTATGATGAGAGTCAGGCAGGACAGCAGAGACTGGTTCAGCACGACTCAAAGTGTAACATTTGTGATATTGGGCTATATAAATAAACATTGATTGATTGATTGATTGAAAGTCCAGGACTCAGATCTAGTACTTAGGATAGAGGATCCAGGACACACGACCACAGCAACAGGATTAGCCTCGACTAAGGATCCCGGCGTATATGTAGACACAAAAAAGAGATTTGGGGGAAGCTTAGGTTAATCGGAACATGAGAGCACACAGGTACAAACAGACAGAAAGACGGAGTAAGGTGCCCCCCCCCCCCCCCCCCCCCCCCCGACAGTCCAAGCCTATAGCAGCTAAACTAACATGTCTACATACATGCACTCCCTTAGGATAGGTTGAGGGAAAAGCAAGTAAGAAGCAGAGGTGGAGAGGCACACACAGGGAGAAAGGTCCCCACTGGAACCTTAATTGGAATTGGTGAGAGGTGAGGAGTAGGTCTGTGACTACGTTCCACACTCCCCGGCCGGAATAGGCATCTCTGCAACCTGTTACCCTCTAATAGAACCTCGAGAGGTCATAGAGGGGAAAGGTTTTGGATAAAGTTTTAAATATAAGATCTAAGTTTTTAGGATTTAAGTGAAAGAGTAAGAACTAAAATGTATAGGTGATGAGGCACAACGTATCTACGTCAATGCACTCTTATTAGATTATTTTATTTTATCACTATAAGCTTTATCAAAAAGGAAGGTCTTGGACTCTTCCGGAATGAAGAGTGAGGAGTAGACGTGTTTTCTTCCGCTCCCTCGCTTCCAACTTTTTTATTAGGTAGAAACCTCATTACTCACTTCATACTTACACTAGTCGATATATAACAGCTGAGCAACTTTATACCTTAAGGAGACATGCCATCAAAGCCCGCAAAACAAGTCAAGAAAGACTGGAGGCGCTAACCAGCTTGTTGGAGAGCCATAAAGTGTCCCTCTCAACGGAATTCAAAACTGTCATCGCCGCACTCGAGTCCAAAATTGATCTGATTCATGCGACTATCTCTGATCATGGGCAGCGTATTACCTCTTTGGAGTCGAATGCGGATTTGGTCGACGGGCGCCTGTCGACTTTGGAAGCTACATGCGCGGAGCTAGCCGCTAGCAATGCTAAGCTGCGGGCGAAAACTGCAGACCTCGAGGCCCGCAGCCGCCGCAAGAATATCTGCATCATTGGTCTCCCGGAGTCGATTGAGGGCCCGTGACCAACCGCCTTCTTCTCCGACCTACTACCCCAGATTCTGGGGGACCAAATCCTGTCTACTTCTCCTGAACTGGTCCGGGCTCACAGGTTGTTAGCCGCGAAGCCGAAGCCTGGGGAAAGACCGAGGCCTGTCATCATCCGATTTCACAACTTCCAGACCAAGGAAAGAGTAATCCGTGAAGCCCGGAAAATGAGAGCGGATCTACGGTACGAGGGGAAACCGATTGCCTTCTACGAAGATTATATTCCAGAGGTTGTGATGCAGCGAGCTCTGTACCGCGAGGTGATGGCGCAGCTGTATAAACTCGGACTCAGGCCTGCTCTCCAGTACCCGGCCAAGCTGATGATTACGGCGGAGAATGGAGACAAAGTTCGGCTGTCATCTGTCGAGGAAGCTAAGAAGTATCTTGCCGCTAAACAGAGGTAGCATGCACTGCTATAAAACACAGTAGCTATGGTCGGCCCATCTGCTAACTTGCCACATTACTGAGTGGTCTAACTTAGCTGCTCGTTGTGTTACGTTCCCACTTGGCTAGGGTACAAACGGGAAACGACACGACCAGATTGGATTTGGTATATTTGTTACCGGTGGTTTTATTGTCACTGAAACTAGGCAAAATGATGGTCACACAGATTGGCCCCACAACACGGGTCAATCTGTCACTATAATACAACACAAAGGGTCTCCAAAAGAGAGTTGCCCCGCTATAGAAAGAAAAACAAATCTCACTACTCAAGTGGAAACAAGCAATAAACAAAACGGGACTGTGGAAACACACAGCTGGTGCGGGTCTACAGGTGCTAATCACCTGGCTCTACGCAATATCCACTCACAGGAACGCTGGTCTACAGGTGCTAATCAACCTGGATCTAAGCAGTATAAACACACAGGAATGCTGGTCTACAGGTGATAATCAACCTGGATCTAAGCAGTATACACACACACAAAATCCCTACGCTAACACAGAACCCGACGACACACTGCTACTCAGTGTGCTCGCCTAGAACCCTACTATAGACACTGCTAATCAGTGGAGCTAATACCAAAGACACACGCTAAATCTCAGAATTCACAGAATGAAGGCTTATCACAAGGATAGGGTTGAGGCATCTGACACAAAATACAGAGCCTCCCGACTGTTGTCCGTGCTCAGCCTTTATACTCCTCCCCCGGATGACGTGGCAGAAGCGAGCAGGGGTTGGGCGACGTCTGTCCAATCCCCGCGGATGTTGAGCGGTCCGGACGGCCAATGACAGCAGAGGAACTGCACAGCTCATTTACATACACAAACAGACTTAAGCTCACATTTTTTAATACCAGAAGGTTGTTTAACAATATGTATTCTCCCTCTACTAGTTCCCCTGAAGTTGTTCTCTCTTTGGATGCGGAAAAGGCATTCGACAGAGTAGAGTGGGGATATCTGTTCTATGTACCTAACACATTTGGTTTCAGCAGGGACTTTGTTTCATGGATTCAACTCCTCTATACATCTCCGGTGGCTTCAGTTAACGTCAACGGTGTTAAGTCTGGTCTGTTCTCGCTCTCTCGCGGAAATAGGCAGGGTTGCCCTCTATCTCCGTCATTATTTGCGCTCGCCGTCGAGCCTCTAGCCTTATGGCTTCGTAGTGAGGAAGGATTTAGGGGCATCACGTGCTTCGGTTTTTTGCATAAGCTCTCTTTGTATGCAGATGACCTTTTACTGTAGATTTCCAGCCCATCGTCCTCCCTTCCTATAATTCTAAGCATTTTAGAGCAATTTAAAAAGCTATCTGGCTACAAACTCAACCTCCAGAAAAGCGAATATTTCCCTGTTAACACCCTCGCTGAAAAACTTCCCCAAGCTCTCTTTCCTTTTAAGAAGGTCTCAGAGGGATTCAAATACCTGGGTATCCATATTACTAAATCGTTTACTGAGCTTTTTGCCAAGAACCTTAGTCCATTAGTAGAGCGCTTCAAAGCAGACTTAGCTAGATGGTCCTCCTTGCCTTTCTCCTTAATGGGACGCATTCATTTGATAAAAATGGTGGTGCTACCTCGGTTCTTATATTCCTTCCAACACATTCCAATATTTATAAATAAATCCTTTTTCTCAGCACTTGGCCAGCAGATTAACTCTTTTTTATGGTGCAACAAGAGGGCTCGTATCGGAAGAGTAGTTCTTCAACTCCCTAAGTCTGAAGGTGGCCTGGCCCTGCCTAATCTCCGCCAATATTATTGGGCATGTAATATTAATAAGCTTCTTTTTTGGAACACTAATTTGGCACAGGGTGAACACCCTCGATGGGCCCAGATGGAGGCTTCCTCTTCGAGTCTCCCACTTTGGTCGGTGGTATGTTCTCAATTGCCCTTTCCAATTAAACAAGTTGCTCGCAATCCGATTGTAACTAACACTTTAAATATTTGGGGTCATTTAGGAAGCAGTTTGGCTTACAAGCGTCATCAGGTCTAGCCCCGGTCTATCGCAATCACCTTTTCCTCCCGTCGTGCTCGGATCCTGTCTTTCGGACTTGGTCAGACAAAGGCCTGCGGTCTATTAACGACCTTTATGCTGGTGGTGTTTTCCCTTCGTTTGCAGATTTAGCCAACAAATTTGACCTTCCAAGTTCTCACTTGTTCCGATTCTTTCAGATCAGGCACTTTGTGGAAAATAAATACCCCCAATTTCCAGGCCAGCCTCCTGATTCGATAATTGATTATTTCTTATCACTTAAGACCGATTCAAGGAAGCTCACCTCCATTATATATAATAACATTTTTAAGATAAATCCTACTTGCTTAAATTCCCTTAGAGTTGTATGGGACCAGGACCTTGGGATTTACATGTCAGATAATCAGTGGGACGTATATTAGACCTGGTACACACCTCTTCTATATGTGCAAGGCATAGCTTACTGCAGTGCAAGATTCTGCACAGAGTACATTACACTAACGCTAAGCTGGCCAGGATATACCCTGACAGGTCTGACACATGTAATGATGTAAACAATCTCCGGCTGACTGCACATGTTTTGGTCGTGCCCTAAACTATCGGAGTTCTGGTCTGCAATATTTGATTCACTTAGGGAGGTCTTAGGTGAGACAGTGGACCCTAGCCCCCTCACTTCCCTTTTCGGAATTCCTCTGATGCCCAATGCACCCATTACCTCAAAACGAGTTATCGCATTCACCACTCTGCTTGCCAGGAGGCTTATTCTCCTTAAATGGATACATTCCTCCCCTCCCACCCATAATAGATGGATTCATGAAATCCTGTATTGCGTCAGGCTTGAGAGGATTAGGTTCTCCCTTAGGGGCGCCCTGACGACGTTCCATGACACCTGGCAGCCTTTTCTGGACCACATTGACACCCTTACTATTGGTGAAGAACCCAATACTTAATTCTCAGCAGAGCATCCCCCCCCCCCCCTTTTTCTTTGAAATACTATTTAATATTCAAGCTTTATTTAATTTTGTTTTTATTTCCTTGCCCCCCCCCCCCTTGTATGTTTGTGTGAATGAGATTGCGGGGTATTGGGGTTTGTGTTTATTTGTCAACTGTACTAGGAAAACACAGTATTTTACATGTAATGTCTTGAAAATGTCTGTTTGATATCTGTGCGAAAACTAATAAAAAGATTTATAAAAAAAAAAAAAATGGAAGGTCTTAAGCGTACTCTTAAAAACGGATAGGTTGTCTGCCGCCGAACACAAACTGGAAGCTGATTCCACAAAAGTGGAGCTTGATAAGAAAAGGCTCTGGGTCCCATTGTACTTTTAGAGACTCTAGGAACAACTAACAACCCTGCATTCTTGGAACGCAATGCCCTAGTAGGACTGTAGGGTATAATGAGTTCTTTAAGGTAAGATGGCGCCTGCCCATTAAGGGCTTTGTAGGTGAGAAGAAGAATTTTAAATTCTACCCTGTGTTCTAGGGAGCCAGTGTAAGGCAGCCAGAACAGGAGTAATGTGATCCCTTTTCCTAACTCTAGTTAGTACACGTGCTGCAGCATTTTGAATCAGCAGAAGCGACTTAACTGACTTCTTGGTATCCATCCATCCATCTTCTCCCGCTTATCCGTGGTCGGGTCGCGGGGATAGCAGTTCCAGCAGAGAGCCCCAAACGTTCCTTTCCCTGGCTCCATTTTTCCCTCACCCTCCCCCACGACTACGCCTCGAAATCCGATCCATGTATATTACAAACAGGATTGGTGACAAAGCGCAGCCCTGGCGGAGGCCAACCCTCACCGGAAATGGGTCCGACTTACTGCAGAGGACCCGGACACAGCTCTCACTTTGGGAGTACAGAGATTGGATGGCCCTGAGTAGAGACCCCCTCACCCCATACTCCCGCAGCACCTCCCACAGTAACTCCCTGGGAACTCGGTTATACGCCTTCTCCAAGTCTACGAAACGCATGTAGACCGGATAAGCGTACTCCCAGGCCCCCTCCAGGATCCTTGCGAGAGTAAAAAGCTGATCCATCGTTCCACGACCAGGACGGAATCCGCATTGTTCCTCCTCAATCTGAGGTTCAACAATCGGCCTGACCCTCCTTTTGAGTACCTTAGAGTAAACTTTCCCGCGGAGGCTGAGTAGTGTGATGCCTCTGTAATTGGCACACACCCTCTGATCCCCCTTTTTGAAAAGGGGAACCACCACTCCGGTCTGCCACTCCTTCGGTACTGTTTCCGACTTCCACGCAACGTTGATGAGACGTGTCAACCATGACAGTCCCTCAACACCCAGAGCCTTCAGCATTTCTGGGCGGATCTCATCCACCCCCGGGGCTTTGCCACTGTGGAGTTGTTTGACGACCTCAGTGACCTCCCCCCGGGAGATTGGTGTTGATCCCCCGTCATACTCCAGCTTTGTCTCTAACATAGAGGGCGAAGTTGTCGGGTTCAGGAGTTCCTCAAAGTGTTCCTTCCAACGCCCTAACACTCCATCAGTTGAGGTCAACAACGTCCCATCCTTACTGTACACAGCTTGGATGGTTCCCTGCTTCCCCCTCCTGAGGTGTCGGACAGTTTTCCAGAACAACTTTGGTGCCACCCGAAAGTCCTTTTCCATGTCTTCTCCGAACTTCTCCCACACCCGCTGCTTTGCCTCGGCCACGGCTGAGGCTGCGGCCCTCTCTGTACCTTGCAACTGCCTCGGGAGTCCCCCGGGATAACAAATCCCTGAAGGCCTCCTTCTTCAGTCGGACCGCTTCCCTGACCACCGGTGTCCACCAGGAGGTTTGAGGGTTACCGCCCCTTGAGGCACCTAAGACCTTGAGAACACAGCTACCCGCCGCGGCTTTGGCAATAGAGACTTTGAACACTGACCACTCTGGTTCAATGTCCCCAACCTCCACAGGAATGCCCGAAAAGCTCCGCCGACACAATGTCTCTGGGAATACCATGAATACGGACAACATGAGTCAATAACGCCTGACCAGTCTCTTTAGCTGACAGCAACTTTGGCATGGCAATAAAATGGACCATCTTAGAGAACCTGTCCACTACAGTGAGGACAGTGGTGTTATCCTTGGATGGAGGAAGACCTGTGACAAAATCCAACGAAATGTCAGACCAGGGCCTGCTGGGAACGGGGAGAGGCTGCAGCAGTCCCATCTGTGATTTTGATGATGTCTTGTTCCTGGCACAAACTACGCAGGCAGCCACATATTCGGAGACATCCTTAACCAAGGAAGGCCACCAAAACCTCTGTCAGACGACGAATATGGTCCGCTTGACCCCTGGATGACAAGTGAGCAGTAATGTGTGAGACCAATGAATAACCTGTGACCGCATGGATTCAGGCACAATAGCCTGTCCAATGGACAGCCACTAGGTTTCGGCCCCTCACCATTGACACCATTCACCTGATCTACTATAGGCCATGTCACCACCCCAACCACACGGGAGAGTGGAAGGATTGGCTCTGGATCATTGGCCATGGGCTCTGGGTCATGGAGGCGTGAGAGGACGTCAGGTTTGCCATTCTTGGACCCGGGTCTGAAAGACAATGTAAAGTCAAAATGGTTGAAAAAAAGTTGCCACTGGGCCTGGCGTGAGTTCAACCTCTTAGCTTTGCGGATGTATTGAAGGTTCTTGTGGTCGGTCCAAACCAAGAACGGCTGTGGCGCCCCCTCAAGCCAGTGCCTCCACTCCTCTAGAGCCATCTTGATTGCCAACAGCTCTCGGTTTCCGACGTCGTAGTTTCTCTCTGCAGGGAGATCGTTTGCGAGACAAAAAGGCACAAGGATGCATCTTATGATTCCCAGCCGCTCTCTGTGAGAGAATGGCCCACACCCCATCATTGGAGGCATCCACCTCCACAACAAACTGTCGTTGAGGATCAGGAACAGTTAGTATGGGAGCTGTGGTAAACCTTCTTTTTAACTCATTAAAAGCCTCCTCGGCCCTGAGGCCCCACACAAAGTTAACCCCTGGTGAGGTCAGTGCATGAAGGGGAGCAGCAACAGAGCTAAAGTTCCTAATAAATCGTCTGTAGAAGTTAGCAAACCCCAAAAACTGCTGTACCTTCTTCCTATTGGTGGGGGTGGCCCAGTCTGCCACTGCACTGACCTTTGCAGGATCCATCAGGATTTGTCCAGGAGAAATGATGAACCCCAGGAATGAGACAGTTGATGCATGGAATTCACACTGCTCTGCTTTTACGAACAGGTGATTATCCAGTAGGCGCTGTAGTACTTGGTGGACATGTTGCACATGAGTCTCCTTATCAGGAGAGAAGATTAAAATGTCATCCAAATACACAAAGACAGACACGTTCAAAAACTCAAAAAAAAGTACATAATTGACCAGTGCCTGGAAAACTGCTGGGGCGTTAGTTAACCCAAAAGGCATTACGAGGTACTCGTAATGTCCTGTTGGGGTATTAAATCCAGTTTTCCACTCATCCCCCTCCCTTATTCTTACCAGATGAAGCGTTGCGTAAATCCAGCTTTGTGAACACTTTAGCGTCCTGCAATAGGTCAAAAGTAGAGTCAATGAGAGGGAGGGGGTATCTGTTTTTTACCATGATGTCATTCAGTGGACTGTAATCGATGCAGGGACGGAGCGAACCATATTTCTTCTTCACAAAGAAGAAGCCCGCTCCGGCAGGAGAGGAAGACGGTCGGACGAGTCCTGCCTTCATGGACCCCTTTTCTGGAGCTGACAGGGAGTACAGGCGGCCCTTGGGAATCGTGGATCCTGGCAACAAGACTATAGCACAATCATAAGACCGATGGGGTGGTAGTGTACTCGCCCTAGCTTTACTAAAGACTTCCTTTAGATCAGGGGTGGGGAACCTCCGGCCCCCGGGCCGTATACGGCCCGCGAGACCATTTGGTGTGGCCCTCGAGGTAATTTATAAACACACGCAAAAAATACCGCAAAAATAATGAAACATGTGAGTGCCTGTTTTTCCTGGCCAAGGTCAGGGTCCTTGAACACAACACAAGCCCAACGTGTCATCATGTGGTATATGTATCGTCTGACAGGGGTGTAGTTCTGACGGGGAGCACCAGAACGCTAGCTCCGCTCCGGCACTTCCAAAAATTGCAGTACCGATAAGGAGCCGTACACATGCTGCAGTTTTTGCGTGGCTGTGTCTTAGTTGTAAGCCCAGTGGCGATCTGTCATACTGATCATACAGTCAATAACTTTGTTGTTATTAGCATCTGGTTAGCTAGCTATGCTAACGAATAAGAAGCTTTTTCTACAACCAGTGAGGTAAAGGCACATCTTTATATGATCATTATAGTTATAAAACAAATAAGAGAATAAAGTAAACAGGTATAAAATACTATATGACAGTAAAAAAAAGTTGTGGAGAGTGATTTGTAAAATACCCATAAAGAAAAAGAAAATCTTCTTACAGTTCTGTTTCATCTGGGTGTTGAGAGATGTATCCATAGATCTCCTAATGTTGCTCTCAAAGTGCACCAGATTGATGCTTTTAACTTAAACATTTAAAAAAAACAAATCTTCCCGGGGGAGCATGCCCCCCGGACCCCCCTAGAGGAGGTTAGGTCCCCCCCCCCCACTTAAATCATGTTCACAGGAGTCTAAATACATTTGCACACATATTGTGTCCATATCTTTCTGTGTTGGTGGTCATGCCACAACCGTGCACGTGCATGCATGAGTGAGTCATGGCAAGATATCTGGATTAAGAGGTTGCTTTTTCTTTGCACAGCATGAAAGAAAGGTGAAATGAGTGAGCTGTGATTTTAGTATTTTTAAGTAGAGATCAATAATTTGTACGGCCCTCGGAGGATGTTGAAAACATTGAAATGGCCCTTAAGAGGAAATGTTTCATTATTTTTGCGGTATTTTTTGCGTGTGTTTATAAATTACCTCGAGGGCCACACCAAATGGTCTCGCGGGCCGTATGCGGCCCGGGGGCCGGAGGTTCCCCACCCCTGCTTTAGACAATCACAACAGCGGGAAAACAGACCAGGCAGGAAACGTACTTTAGACACATGAGGGTAGACAAGACTATCAAAATAAAACAGGAACCTATCTAAACACAGAACATAAAACCTAAACTAGGGAAGAATCTTTAGCAGAGCCGTCTACGCACAACAATTCTCATCTATTAATGAAGAGTAGTAGGCTGCTCTCGCTTTACACAGTGCTTTCTTATATTCATTGAGAATGTCATATGCCAAAATAAACGAAATTCTTCAAGTTTAGTGGAACAGCACATCCTTTCAAGTGGTCTCGACTTTTGCTTTATTTTGCGGGTTTCGGCATTATGCCATGGAGCTAATCTATGTTGTTTTATTTTCTTCTTTTTCAAAGGAGCAACAGAGTCTAATTGTATTCGCAGCGCATCTGTAGCACTATCAACAACATGATCAATTTGGGGTGGTGTATATTTTGTATAAGTTTCCTCCCTTACATGCAGACATGCTATCGAGTTAAGTATTGGTGGAATCTCTTCCTTAAATTTGGCTATAGCACTAACAGATAGGTTTCTGCTGCAGGAGCTTTTGACTAATGCTTTGTAGTCTAGTAACAGTACTTCAAAAGTTACTAAGAAATGGTCGGATAAAGCAGGATTATGCGGTTCGACTAATAGTTGCTCAATTTCAATACCATAAGTCAGAACAAGGTCGAGAGTGTGATTATAGCAGTGTATATAAACATGATTAACAGCAGTAAAGTATTTGAATACAATATAGATAAAGTATAAAAATATACATTATCACTATCGACAATAAATATGAATATACCACAGACCGTTATTGACATTTTAAATAATATGAAGTCAAATTCAGTCAGTCTGGGTTTCCAGGGGGGAGTGTGTGTGTGTGTGTGTGTGTGTGTGTGTGTGTGTGTGTGTGTGTGTGTGTGTGTGTGTGTGTGTGTGTGTGTGTGTGTGTGTGTGTGTGTGTGTGTGTGTGTGTGTGTGTGTGTGTGTGTGTGTGTGTGTGTGTGTGGGGGGGGGGGGGGGGGGTCAGCTATCATTGTTTAGAGTTCAGCCAGGTGATAGCTCTTCCTGAACCTGCTGGTCCTGGTGCCGAGTTTCCTGTAGCAACCATCATACATTAGAGCAGTGGTTCCCAGCGGGGGATACAGGGAGGATACATAGAAAGATTATGGATTGCAATTTATTTCTATAGTGGTTTTCATCTAAGGAGCCGTTGGGTGTAGGCGAATCATCACAGATGAGTGAGGGCGGGGGTTCTTATAGAATGGAGACCACTCAAGGGAAACACAAGACCAAGACATTACAGGACTTCTTCTTCTGAAGTGATGGAGCTATGAGCCTGCTGCTTTCGGTCCCGCAGGTTACTCCCCCCTGCACCTGGCGGCCGGGTGGGGTCACCTGGAGACGGTGAGGACTCTGCTGGAGTTTGGAGCTGATACCCAGGTGGAAACCTTCAGGGGGGAGGGGCCCCTGGACCTGGCCTGGAGATACTCCTGGACCGACTGTGCTGACTGTCTAAGCCTGGCCGGTGAGTGCCCCTCATGTTATGGCACTTCTTACATCAGTACAGATGTTAATCATTCCCAGTGGTTGTCACAGTCTGCTGCCTCACTCACCTATTTTCTGCACTAGTATTTCTCAGTCACCTTAGTCACCTGGTAGTCACACCCTGTTTCTCTCTCTCACTCTCTGTTGCACCCTTCAGCTCCACTAGTATCAGAGTTCCCGTTAGCCGGTAATTACCGGACTACGACCGGTAAAATATGCTGAAGACCGGCAAATCTAAATCTCTCCGGTCAAAGTGTCCGTTCAAAATAATTTCCGCAATGCCATATCAGTTGCGCAACTTGCGCCATTTATGTGACAGACAAAAGAGTATGTGACAGACAAGAATAGTCAATTCTAATGTCTAACACTTAATGTGGAGAAAGAGATGTCCTGTATGGGTTGATTGTGCGTTGATCTGTTGGTAATGCCTCGGGGTTCCGGTGGGCATGTAAACAAATGCATAATGCTGCGCTATACTTTGCGGCCTCACCCGGTTGCATAGCGACGCTTATTGTTTAGGTGTCTTTTAATAAGCAGGTAGTCATATCATTAGCTAGAACTAGCTGGATCTGATCGATATGGACATAAACGCGAGTGAAGTCTAATCTGACGGGAGAGAGAGATCAGCTGCTGCTGACGAGTGGACACGCAGCTCTGCATGATCACATGCAGCGGTGAGCGGAACAAAACACACACCAGGTTAGAATATCACACATAGCTATGACCTCTCAAACTACCGTAGTTATAGATAGGCTATGTTTAGTTTTACTGTCGGGTCACTCATTACTGATCCGCGAGCTGCATGATACTGACGGGCTGTCAGGAGAGGGAGAGCGCTCCGTTTATTATTCCCGTGTTATTGTAAGTTACTGTTCACTTTTGAATAATGTAGTTAATCTACTATAATTAGTTTGTTTAATATCGAATCATATCAATTTGTTTTAAAGCACAATAAATAACAAAGAAGACATTTGACCGGCACTTTTCTCATTTTGTCCGGAATATTTCAACTTCAACATGTTGACCGGTGAAAAAATATTCTAACGGGAACTCTGACTAGTATATAGGCCCCCTTCACTCTCACCTCAGTGCCAGATCGTACTTTGCAACATGCTAGTCTTTCCCGCTTAGGCCCGGTTCTACGGGGGTGCATAAGGGTGCATTGCACCCTCAGTTGAGTCGTTATGCACCCTCATTTGTAAAATTAAAAGTGAAAAAAAAAAATTCTAAGTAAAAAAAAAAAATTCAAAGTGAAAAAGATTACATATATAATAACAGTAATAATAAGAATATAGTTGAAATAAAGTAAATTGTAATTGTGGTTAAATAACATTGTCTGCTGCATTTATTTTGTCAATTTAAACGGTAGCCTAAGTAACGTTATTATGTCAGGTGCGTGTGACCTGTGCTGTGCCGCTGCGCGTTCGTCATCTGCAAGGTGCTTACACAGCAGTCAATGATGGCCATCAGAAAATGGTTAAAACAACCAGCCCTTATCGCCAGCAGTAACACTGCATCTACTGCAGGTAATACCAGTTCAAATCATGGGGACATTACGTTACCCGCGGCCACTGTCGTGGACACTAACATCCTCCCGCCCGACTCGCCAGCTTTGCCCGCCTCGCCCACGGAGGCGGAGCAGCCGCAGCTAGGGTGACCAGGTCCCAACAAACCAAATGTGGGACAAGGAGTATGTTTGTGTGGGACAATGTGGGACACCCTCTCAACAGCACACACCCCTCCCGGAAAAAAAATCTCTATTTCTATTCTGTTTAATTTGATCTATTCAACAGCATCCAATAAACAATGACAGAAAGTCAAGTCAAAATGCAGTAACAATTTAGTATCCCCCCCCCCCCCCCCCCTACAGTGTGTGGGCTATTTTGCCACCTAGAGCCACTGTTGTCTTTAACTCTGCCAAACAACTCTCCACAGAGGCAGGGGCAAGCTGCTTTTGTACGTCCACATAACATTTTCTTTACTATCTCAGAGTCTGGAAAAATCGGCGCTAGCTTGTTACCACAGTCATTTGACCGGTATGATTGGGAGTGTTGCACTGTATGGTAAACACTGGTTATTTCTGCTGCTGTTACCTTGTCTGAGTGGCCATACTTTTTTGGTTTGAGTAGGAATGTCTCCATAGAGTGGGATGTCTCTTTTTGAGCGACACGTTTCTTGTGAGAATCGCATTCTTTGTGTCTTTTGACGTCGTATTCACCGCCATGTGAAATTGTAAAAATTACTTGCAAAAAACTCTCTCTGAGAGTCACCCTGCACTGGCTTCACCCACTGATAAGTGTCCTCCCAGTCTTTGTTGTATGTGCATCTTCTTTTCTTCTTAGCTGTAGTTTCAGTTTCCTCCATTTTTCCATAACCTGCTGCGTCGCCTGCATTATTGACTGACTTTCGTTGTTGTTATTTGTTTGGCGGGGCCGTGTTAACTCTCATTGGTTAACACTTGACCAGCACCCGCCGTGTGTTACAGATTGATTGACAGCAAACACACCCCTGTGATGATAGCCTTCCCTGCTTTCTCAACAGCCATTGGATAAATCTGATTTTAGAAAAGCGTTTTAGCCAATCAAAATGAAATATGCGGGACATCGTCTCAATTTGTGGGACGCACCAAAAGTCGTGAAAATGCTGTGCAGTCCCGCGCAAAGCGGGACATCTGGTCACCCTAGCCGCAGCCGTCTTCGTTGCCCCAAACACCGCCACTCCTCGGCGGCCCGCAAGTGCCAGAGGACCTCAGCTAAACAGAACCTGCCCAGGTATATTTAAAAAAAGTACCCAACTCGCCTGTACAGTGGGGTAAGGCGCTCATTTTGCAGCTCATGGTTCCAAAACAGAGATTGGCTGAAATATTCCTGTAAAAAAGATGCCATCTTCTGCTATGCATGTAGACATTTCGGTCTTAAAAGGGGAGTGATTTGTAAAATATCCATAAAGAAAAAGTAAATCTGTTTACTTTACAGTTCTGTTTCATATGGATGTTGAGAGATGTATCCTTAGATCTCTTCATTTTGCTCTCAAAGTGCACCAGATTGATGCTTATAACTTCAATATTTAAAAAAAAAATCTTCCCGGGGGAGCATGCCCCTGGATCCCCCTAGAGAAGGTGAGGATAGAGGGTGTTAGGTCCACTCCCCACTTATAAAAATAGCACTTTACCACTGCACCCTCTCTAATCTCAGATGCACCCTGAGTCATTTTGTTCTGGAACCGGGCCTGCATGCCGGGTAATCTGTGACGTTTCGCTCTCTCAAAAGTTGGGCCATTTTATCATCATGCGCCAATGAGCAACTCTCATAGGAATGAATGAGGCCCGCCTCCCACGCTGTATCCAGTTATTATTATACATCCATGGTCAGAACACGTAACATGAACGTGCCGGGCGGCGCGGCCCTGTGGGTTAGATGCGCGTTCATAATGCAGAGGGAAATAACTCTCAGAATAACGTTATTAGCACATTTTACAACTTGAGGACCGAATGTTTTTAATAAGGGCTATACAAACGTTCATACTGGGTAGTTTAAAAAAAAATATCCAACGATTTACAGACCACTCTTTCCCAATGTTAGTCAATGGGAAAAAGTGTTTCCGGGGCCCAGCAACCTAAAGGAAGTGTAGTACCGCCGCTTGGCCACCACGAATATTTTCATCTGAGTCCGGCGCACTTCCTGGGGGCTTGCGTGCGTCACGCCTCCACCGTTCCCGGAAATGCATCCGCGGAGGAGCCGTGGAGGAACCATCAGTGTATCCTCGGTTATAGCTCCTCCAGAGAGCCTCCTCGATGCTCGGTCCTCGGTCCTCGATATGCATTTAGAGAAATGAGATGTCCTTCAACATGGCGCGCTGAAATTCATTTCCAGGTCACTACCAGAGGACCGAGGAGTCGAGGAGGGGAAATTTGAGTATTGAGAAACCTCTCTTGTTTTCTCTGAAATGTGGAGCGACAAAGAGACTACACTACCCACAATCCCCAGCTATTGTTGTGACGACGCCTGTCCGCTTTGCGACAAACCTTGTGATAAGTCAACAAGCTCTGTGATTGGATGAAACATAAATTCATGCAAAAAAGTCCAACCCTGTCTCCTAAAAATCATGTTCCCACAGAACTAAACTACATTCTCAATTACGTTTAGCTAGAAACGTATTTTCTCCCACGTTACGTTTGTTATGAACGTATCTTAAATACGTTTATTTTCTACATATCTTTGCCATTTATTGTCTTGCTTATAATAATGATAATAGTCATTTATAAATATCATTTTAGAGCACACATTTGAAATCGTGAATCGGGCTCGTTATATGGTTAAATTAAAATCAGTAGGCGAGGCTGTAATTTTGTCAGCTGTTAATCTCATGAGCGAGGCAGAAAATAATAGTTTTAATATGCCAAAAAGCTGCTGTGTCGTTTATTGCACCTCAAACATTAAAACAAATCCAGAGTTACGTGTTTATGTACTTCCTCTAAGAAGAAAGGACAGTAACAGAAGAGGCTTGTTTGAGACAAGCGAGACCTGCGCAGACCTGCGCAATTGCGATCAACGTCTTGCTAGTGCGTTGCATGATGGTTAGTCATTTTGTCCGTGTCACTACCCGATCCGTCCCCCTGTCCCCCAAGCCCCCAGGAAGTGCGCCGGAGTCTGATGAGAATATTCGTGCTGGTCAAACGGCGGTACTACACTTCCTTTAGGTTGCTGGGCCCGGAAACACTTTTTCCCATTGACTTACATTGGGAAAGAGTGGTCTGTAACTCATTGGATATTTTTTTTTAAATAAATAAACTACCCAGTATGAACGTTTGTATAGCCCTTATTAAAAACATTCGTTCCTCAAGTTGTAAAAATGTGCTAATAACGTTATTCTGAGAGTTATTTCCCTCGGCATTATGAACGCGCATCTAACCCACGGGACCGCGCCACCCGGCACGTTCAAGTTACGTGTTCAGCACTACATGCGTTTATCTCAACCCATGGATGCACAATAACAACGGACCATATCGCCTTACTGCCATCCCACGGAGCTGTAATAATGGATATATTGCACATGTTTGCTGTAATTCATCATTTGTAAAATATTATACTACATGGGCTGTATGATGTAAATCTTGTACCGTAAATGTTGTATTAAATAAAGTTAATATTACCGACGTAGATTAACGTTCCTGTAGCTTCTTATTGCACTTGCAATTGCTTTAGTTACTTGTGGGCTACTTAACATGAATATTCACAGTTACTATCCTTTTACTCCATCACATTTCAAAAAGAAATAGGCTATTGTTATTTTAACTCCACCACAGTAATCCATCATCAGCTTTACTTTTTAGATAAAGTTTTAACTCACAATTGATCATAACAGGCTTCAACATATACATTTTTATATATTACCAAGTGATTTCATGTACAACCCACACAAGTATCATGCTAAATGAAGCTCTGTTGCTTGGATATCACTAGATCCTGATGTCAGCGTAATATAAAAGTACATAACGATTGATGTGTAATTTAGCATAATTTACTAGCTAGCCTCTAGCTGCTAACTGCCGCCTCGTTAATATAAATCCAGTACCATGCTGTCATGAACACGCGGTGCTGTTACGTGTACGCAAATTGACGTGCTTATGTGAACGAGCCTTTTGGGCGGCGTGGTTAAAGTTGCACATGCTCTATGAGTGCACATACGGTACTTCTCAGGCATGCCGGGTAATCTGTGACGTTTCGCTCTCTCAAACGTTGGGCCATTTTGTCATCATGCGCCATTGAGCAACTCTCATAGGAATGAATGAGGCCCCGCCTCCCACGTTGTATCCAGTTCTTATTATACATCCATGCGCATGTGCGAGATGGTCCGCCATATTGGAGAACTCCGGACGGCAACCCAAGAAGGACACTTGACACAGTGGCTTTTGGCAAAGCTGAAAAATAAAAGTCGAGAGAGATGAGTTATTGTTATTACAACGTGACTTCACTATTATTTAACAACTCTTTTTATTGGGTTCTTTTATTTGGGGTTAAGTACATTGTCAGAATAAGTCAGAAATGGATTTAACTTCTGTTAGACAGCTATCATACTGAATAAATATTTATTTTTGAATGTATGCAAAAATGTATGGCATATAGCTGTCTAACAGAAGTTAAATCCATTTCTCACTTATTCGTCACAACAATAGCTGGGGATTGTGGGTAGTGTAGTCTCTTTGGCGCTCCACATTTCAGAGAAAACAAGTTGTTTCTCAGAATTGAAGGGGAAAAACACAAAAGCATTGTACACAATTTAAACCTATCAATGTTGTTTAATTAACAAAGGTAATCTGGTGTTTTTTAGTCGATGAGTAGTGGAGATATCACTGTCAAATCAATCGACAGCAAGAAGAATACTTACTTCCGGGTGTACAATTATCCGTTATCCAATGGGAATGGACGCTCACATTGCCTTTAAGGGCTGCCGACATAAACGGATGTGGTGCTTCCATGAGCGTCAAATACCGCCGCCGATGGGAATACATTGCAATCAGTTGAAAGCTCTTTGAGTCCGTTTATGAAGCTGAAGGAGCCTCGGCGCGTCACAACTGCACGCCACGGTCACCCTGACCAAGCGTCGCTCCTGGACGTTTAGGGAGTGAGAGTTTGTTGGGCTGTGGGTGCCCTGTCATGATAGGTGTTTATATAAATGGTGTTGTTCTGTGTGGTAGAGGGTCGCTGTTATTGATGGGTTTTGCACCCCGGGCCGCTGTTTTGATATTCCGCTGAAGTATACGCTGTGACCATAGACTTAAAGGCTGTGACGTAATAACTCTTCTTTTTTTCGAGGGAAGGGGTGGGGGTCAGAGGGCCTAGGTATAAAAGTCACGGCTCGCCACTGATCCATTAATAATTACAATACAAAAATGTATCAAATATCAAATGTATCTGATATGGGCCATACTGTCAAATGAACACCCTTACTTTTTGTAATTAAAGTATATTTTTATGCCAATACTTTTGTCGCTTTACTTGAGTACAATTTTAAATGCAGGACTTAAATTTGTTTACAATGTAGTATTGCTACTTTTACTAAAGATCTGAGTACTTCTTAAACCTCAGCCTGTGTGTGGTATCTCTGTGCAGAAGCTAAACAGGGAGTCGTATGTAGCCTTTGTGAAAGACCTGACCTCTCACCCCCAGAGAGGTCTCACAAAGGAGGAAAAGGTACACTTGCTTTAAATTAGGAATCAAAGATATTTAGCTATTTTCATAAATGATGATAGCTGTGTGTAATAAATAATACCTTGTGTATAACTCTTTTATAACTACCGATGCACATTTACATTTTGAAACCAAATGCTTTCCTCACAAGAAATAAATCGACATGGTAGTTTTTACAAATCATTTGAAGACAACGTTTATATTAATACACAATTGTTATCAATCATTATCAGAATTGGTTTTATTACCAAGGAGGAATACGGGGAATTTGTTTTAGTGTGAATGGTGCATACAAAGACACATAAAGAAGAATATGTTTTTCAAAGAAAGGAGAAAAGAATAGTACTATTATAAAAAACATTTTAACAAATAAAAAATAGAGACAATATTTACACAAAATATGAATATACTGCAAGAGTGCATATTTACAACACTGCATGAGTCACACTTCCAGTTAAAGGCTAATTTCTTATTGAAAATATTGGATGGCTTAAATTCTCTAAAATATTCCTGCAAATGAGAAAACAGTGACTTCATAAAATAAGAATAACGATTTGAAGAAATGAAAGCTTTAGCGCAAGTTCAATAAGGAAGACCTAACTCGAGTCACTCACACGTCACTCTATGGCTCCCTTCCCCCCTCATTAAATATGAGGGCGTCACCCCTCAGCAGCCAATCGCTGCACATGCTAAATTCCTTAAATGCCTGCTCTTCCTCCCTGTCAGTTGTCATTGCAGATGATCACACGCAACCCGCCTCCACCCCTCTCGCCTCCTGTCTCCTTCAGGACAAAGCTAAACCTTCCTCCTTCAGACCGGTCTCACCTACTCATCACCAACACCAGTGTCTAGACCCCGGGGATTTCATCGGAGCGGTGCTTTCCCTCCTGAATGATTATCTTGCAAACCGGGGCCTAATCGCCAAACACCATTACATTCTCCTGTTGTATTATCATGGCAATCATTTCATTCATATGACGTGTAAACAATAAATATGTAATTCTTACATCACGTCTCTCCGGTTAGAAGTATTTTCTGCCATTTCATGATCTCTCATGAACACGTGCGTGCTCTGCCAAGTCAGACTGGATTCAGAGTGTGGAACATGCAACAGAGTCAGACTTTATTGCCCAAAGGAGAGAGCTACAGGACGCTGTGCTGTGCACCACAGGGGGAGCATCCACAAAGCAGGAACCGTCTCATAGTAGAGTTGGGGCTTTCAGATGTAATTATGTTGTCCATAAATTCAGAGGATTCAGAGGATATCTGTGAATGCTGTCCTTGGATGTACACAGAACAACATATCAGATCCTATCCTTAATCTCTTTTGCCATCTCAGTGTGGTTTATCAATTGTGTAAATTATGAAAGATGTATACATTCACTTGAGCAAAATATGTCCCGCTTTCCTGTATTCACAAGACCATTTTCTCAGAATGATGAGGACATTTACATGAAAAAATCTCTGTTTTTATTCTCTAAATAAATTCAAAAACTCTCAGAAACGACTTCATTAATAAAAAGTCTGTCGTTGTATTTCTGAATTTACAAGACAGTGAAAATGACAGAGGCATGCTCTCATAGAGAGCTTCATTTCATGGAAGCAAACATCGTGTCTGTTCAGGCTTGCTGAATGTTACAGTTTTCCCTGACTTTCTTTATACTCAGCACGTAGCCAGCCTGCATGCATTTTTGGATCTTATTTGATTATATCCATGAAGCATGGTGTTCATCTGATCCCGGAGTAACACTGATTTACATTGTTTTTGGAATTCTGAAAATGTCTTTATTCAGAAAATATCATATATATAAAGCTTGTGATCAGTTGCATGCTCTTTTTCTTCAGTGGATCATCTTCTGTGTGTCTGCAGCCGCGGTGCCTGAATGCAGCAGACTGAGACCTCCCTGCAGTGTCTGGAAAATGTCCCATTGGTTTCCGTCCATTATTTTATGAAAATGGAAATTATATTCAAAATTAAAGGGAGATGATATCTGCCTGCCCTCACGATCTTGTATAACATTTAGTCGTAGTATTAGTACAGTTACACAGAGAGGTCGTATATCCGGATTAAAGAGGATAATTTTTCACTTTTTACATTCATGATATGATAAACGAAAGTATTATTAATGAACGAGTTGTTAAAATCAGGTTCCACTGAGAATTGAACTCGGATTGCAGGATTCAGAGTCCTGGGTGAGTGCTAACCGTGCTAACCATTACACCATGAAACCTCTATAAGAAGACCGCGCTGCCTTCAATTAAATCTGTGTCTGTGGGAAATGAAACAATTATGCCACTGTTTCTAAAAACATTTACGATACTGAAAAAAATACTTTAAAAAATAGAGCTGTTTGAAGAGAAACAGTTTAGTGCACAACTTCAACGGCCATTGTGATTCCATTGAAACAAATTACTAACTTAACGTTGCAGTTCTGATAACGGTGAATTCGGTGTAAAATACCGTTGACACTAAAGATCTGAAAGATTGTGGAACTGTGAAGTTCACCATAAGGAAACATGAACTGAAAGCACTTTCACCAGAAACTGAATCATAGATTACGGTCCCTATCCTTAGAAATAGCTTGTATAAGAGTCTCTCCACTGCTTACATACAATAAACATGTTATATTTGACATAAATGCAATATTAGTATTTATTTTCTGATTAGTGTCTGTCATGTCTGAACAAAACAGAGACCTTCATTAGTCATATTATTTCTTATTAACAGAGGTGGGAAGAAGTGAAGTACAAATACTTTTATATAAATAAATACTGTACTTAAATCGTTTTTTTATATATCAGTTAACTACACACTTTTCTGACAACTTTTACTTTCACAATTTTAATACATGTACATTTTCAGCACAGCTTTAGTTTTAATCTGCATCTGGTGGCAGGTTCATTATTATTTAGTCATTGGCGCCTATTTCAACCTTATGTCATACAGAAAACATGGTCGGTGTATGTACTGTATGTATGAATCATACCCTGATTATTTGTAAGTGTTTTAGTGTCAGGGTGATAACATTTATTATTGAACACGAAATGTTGAATAATCACAGAAAGGGTCAGGATTTTTTTATTTGACCACCCTCTTAAAAATCTGAAAAAATAGCCTGCTGTTGTTTTTCTGAATTAACAAAATTCCTCGAAACAATCTCCTTCAGCACAGTTACAGCTGGTTCTCAGTGACAGACAGTACACACCCTTACACCACACACAAAGGTCATACAACATCCTGGTTCATGGCAGAAAAATAAACAAGTATCTGTTACAACAGCTGTAGTTTGAATAAATTGATTTAGATTAGGTTTTATAGTAATTTCACTTCCAAACTGAAGCCTTTGCATGCTGCCGTGTAAGAAAAGAGATTCAGAGTGTACACAGCTCCTTTAGGATCAGTACATAGCACCCATGTCATTGTAATGCCATGTCAATTGCAGCATACCTTTACATAATAACCAATCCTGTTGAGTCCTAGGGCAGCAGCAGGGCCGCCCCTCCCTACAGGCCAATCACGCAGGCTGCATGGGGCCCCGCCTTGCGCAGGGGGCCTCGCCCAGAGGTCCTCAGCTGCTGTGCGCAGTTCTCCGCGCACCCGCCGCGTAAGTGAGAGGTGACAAAGGGGAGCACGTCTGTAACCCGACACCGTTGCAATGAATCGACATCTGACCAGTCACCACTTTGATACGGCCACTAGTGCAGGTGAAGAGATGTCGGTGAAAAGACAGTTTCAGTCCGGAGCAAGCAAGAGGGAAAAACAAAAAAACATGAAGAAACTAGAGCATCACTCGAAGGTGGGTTATTGTATGAGTCAAATGTACAACTTGCGAATGTTGTATAAGTCAAATTGCCAATTGCCATATTAAAACATCTGCTGCAATTCACGACATGAAGAGGGCAGCCTCTGCATAGCATACAGGCTAATGGAGATGCAGTTCTTTCCAGCATTCTTTATTCATTCAAGTATGTCTTTTATCTGCTAATGTACAGGAGGAAGAGTGATACACTGTCTGTCTAGTTGGCTTACATAACAGTTAAAGTTTACAGCCTAAAAAACATGGAGCATTTTTCCCCCTTTTATTCATTTTTATGTCAATTTGCACATTTCATGGTGACGCTCAGCCTCTTCCCTTAACTCCTAACAATCATCATCATGTCAACAACAACACAGAGAAATACTGATAGAAATGTGTGTAGTTGTTGATACATTGCTGACAGAGGGAACTACATTTGAATACAGATTTAAGAAATATCAGTTTTGTCATAAGCATGTTTTGTCTTGACTACATTACAATATTATAATAAAATAACATAGTATTTATATTATTGAATTGATTATGATTATTATTATTAGTAGAAGTAGTTTATTTGCATTAATTATATTTTAATCTTTTTGAGGCTAGTATTTGGCAGGAAATGCAGACGTATTCACCTGTAAACTGAACGACATACATGCACATTTACCATTTACCTCACTGCATAAAAAAGTAACTGTGTTGATAATAATAATAAACAGGAATTATATTTGCAAAGTAGCCTACTTTGTTTCCAAAAAAAAATGTTTCACTCCTGTCGGTTGGGGGAGGGCCTCATCTCACAATGTCGCTTGGGGCCCCAAGTTGGCCAGGGGCGGCCCTGGGCAGCAGTTTAGATCATAAGGCACTCTCATCATTAACCTCAGAACATGAAGGCCGCACCTCCTGAAGGTGTAGCAGCTCTGGCTTTGAAACTGAAAAATATGTTGTCGTCATGACTCCTTCCAGATTAGGCATCTAACTGGCTGCCAGCTTCTCCTCTGTTATCTTCAGTCTGCAGCAAATCATCAATACGGTGGCCCTAAAGGTACTTGTGAAATGTTTTTTGAAATGTTTTGACATTAGGGGCCACCGTACTTAACCATACATTTCTATATCTATACCAGGTTATCAAATATGTACTAAGGCTGCTGAGACAAACGGAAGGTTTCACCAAAACAAATGCATGCAAGGACATGAGTCTTTCATTCCAAAATGTATGATAGGTACCAGGGTGTTGATTTTGCATCAAGGAATCACATTTAGATGACAGTTTGCTAACCTATACAAGGAAATACACAGCCAGCTCAGGTTCTTGGTGACGCTGAAACACAAACACTTTCCTCCTGAACTAAGTCATAATGTCCTGAATGAGACTGTACATATTGGGACATGTTTTTGTACATTAGACACTGAGAACTGCAACTCATGATAAGTATTAACAGGAAGTTGAGAAAGGGAAAGATCGTAGTTTTTCTGACTGATTGCTCAAGGTTGAATGGATAGTTGTTTGTCTTAAGGTGTGGTTATAGGAGGTGCTTATCCTTATTTAACGTGCAGCAGATGGCAGTCGATACACCCCCAAAATGGGAAATAGAAACAAGGGACCAAATCAATGTAGTGCAGTGGAAGGGGGCAGACAGCCCACCACAATAATAAATGTGCGTTAATGTGGATGTTTATTATTGTAGCCATTATCGTTGCCCTCTTCAAAAGCACAAGAACACTTTGACAGAAAGACTTTTCTTACCTCGCAGAGCTTTGGTGTTTTAAATGGTTATTTCCTATTATCCCAGGTCACACAATAACACAATCGATCAAGGCAACAACATCTGTTTTCCCAGGTAAGACACCTTGATGTTATCATAGGCCCCATTTACACGGAAACGAAAATGAACCGAATTCGATATAAAAAAAGTCTTCTGTTCACACGCAATCGGCTCAATAAACGTGTCTGTTCACACGAGACCGCTCAAGATGCTGTAGTACATATGCCGGGCCTGTAAGTGGCGCTGTACTTCTGCCACAAAATACACCAAAAGCAGTGAAGAAGACTTCCCGAGCATGGCTGCCCTTCTGTTTATTCTCCGGGGTGGATTTAGCAGCAGAGGTGGGGAGAGGCAGGGCTCTGGCTGTTTCTCTTTTTCTCCCTCCCCGAGGCAAGTGTGTGCTTCTCCTGTAAATCTCTCCTGTAGTCCACCAGGAGATGAAAAACACCCACTTCTCCGCCTCTTCCAAGGGACGAGGCAGAGTTTCCGTTAGAATTGTTTTCCGCCGGTCAACATGTCCGTTATAGTTTAAATCTTCCGGACAAAATTAGAAAGTGCTGGTCAAAGGTCTTATTTGTTATTTATTGAGCTTTAAAACAAATGAATAACGACTCTATATAATAATATAAGAATACACGGAGCCTCTCTTTTCCTCCCCCTCTCCGGCGTGTCTCCGTCAGCAGCAGCTGATCTCTGTCCGATTAGACTTCACTCGCGTTTATGTCCATATCGATCAAATCTAGCTGGAGGCTCCTGCTGGGTGCACTGTCCTGCGAGATACCGGGACCTGGCTCGAAACACTCGGTTGTTGTTGGCGAAACACATCAGCAATGTGACACAGGAGAGGTGGGGAGAGGCGGGGCTATGGCGTATAGGGCGTACACACGGAGCCGTTTGACCCCCCAGAGCGTTCGGTCCGCAGATCTACCCACCTTGGGACCCGTTATCGTTTGAGGGGTCCGTTTCCGCGGTTCCGTTATGGCCTCGTGTAAAAGAACCGTCTATACCAAGGGTGCCCAACCAGTCGACCGGTCGATCGCGGGGAGATTCCCAGTCGATCGTGAGATGTGTCTAAAAAAAGAACAACAATATTCTGTTTTCTCGTTAATGTCCTATAACATATACTTCCTGTGCCAGAATAATGCACTTGAACGGATCAAAGCTTTGCGATTGGCCGGCGTGACCCCATGTGTCGGGGGGCGTGGCTGGTGGGCAGTGGGCACTATTTCGCTGACGTTGTCCGTGTCAACAGGAGTAACAGTCAGCACACACACAAGACCGCAATTACGCCAGAAGCAAAAAAGCCCAAAATATATAATTTTCACTCCGAGTGGGAGGATGATTATTTTTGTATCTATTCCAATTCAAAGTCCATCTGTCTCATCTGCAATGCGAGCGTGGCTTTATCGAAGAAGGGTCATTTAGGAGCGGCATTTCAAAACAGTGCACAAACGCTGCGAGACGGAATTCCCTCCTAATTCTGCCCTACGCTCCCAAAAGGGGAGGGGCCTGAAAGGACAGCTAAATGCACAGCAGTCCATTTTCACCAGGCCCAACAACAAGAGCAAGGCTGCTACCAGAGCATCTTATCGTGTCAGTCACGTTCTTGCGAAACACAGGAAGTCTTTCAAAGACAGCGAAGTTGTGAAAGAAGCATTCCTGGAGGCTGCCGACGCGCTTTTGGGGGACAGTAAAAATAACAGTAGCATTTCAACAGGTTTTTGACTTGACTCAAAACTCAAGTTAGATACCGTTATTAATCAGCTGTAAGTTTTAGTTTGTTTGAACTTATTCATTATAATTATTGTACAAAATGGTATAAGAATGCAAACTTAAATTGATTATAGTCTATTATCAATTCAGGTTAAGAAACTAGTGTTGCTTGCATCCTATTAAAAGGCATTTATTTTTATACTCTACTAAAATGCAACAAAAAAAGGGTTTGATTCTATTAATGTTGTTTTTTTTATTGCACGTTGGCAGCAGATTCCTGAGTAGCTTCAGATCTGAGTTGTCTTATTAGTAAGCCTAATTTATACTTTTGTAGCAACACTATTTTTATATAATGGCAAAGAAAGGGTTCAGAGTCTTTTCTTTTTGTCCTGTGTCATATGTGGCAGCACTGTTCAATGTTTCTTGAAAACATTACCCACTGTAGTATGTGACGTGTGAATAAACTCCAACTCTGTATCAACAACACTGTTGTGTAACTTCAGTTAAATACTTGTATGTGTGTAGATTAGAAAGAGGTAAGATAAAGGATCTGCAGTATTTTATGAAGTATTCATCGTACAAAGGTCAGTTTTATACAAGTAGAAGTGTGTATTTACCTCAGTGATCACCAACTGGCGGCCCGCGGGCCACATCCGGCCCGCCAGACATTCTCATCCGGCCCGCACGACGGGGGTGACTGTGGCGTTGGCGGAGTGGTTACTGCGTTCGCCTCCCACCCATTTTTTTTTTAACAACGTCTCGTGAGTAAGGTGCAGTACCGGAGTCCAACAGAGGCAGCAGCTGCGGGTCAGTAGACTGCGTACTGTGAAACCTTCCCTGCCTTGAACAATAATTGATCCTTCGTTGTGAAGAGTCTGGTTAATGCGGTCCGCACCACAGCAGTAGCCCCGCTGCGACAGTCCAACAGAGAGGCTGGAGCTGCGGGACAGTAGCCTAGAAGCAGGGTTGGGTTGTAACGGAATATATGTAACGGCGTTACGTAATCAGAATACAAAAATCAAGTAGGCTAACTGTATTCAGCTGGCGTTACATTTGAAAAACGAGTAATATGATTACAGTTACTTTCGTAAACCTGAAGTGAATACTTTTTGGAATTATTGGTGGAAAAGTTTCCTCACAAAATGTAATATTCATTACCGGCAGAACTGTGTGCACACTGCACAGCGCTGCAGCATGTCTGTGAGCGAGAGAGAGATGCAGAGTGTCTGTGAGGCCCCGCCCCCGCACGCAGATGAGAGAGATCTCTTTTAAAATATATTGAAAGTTAGAAACGGAGATGGTTCGATAAAATGTGCAAGATAACGTTTATGAAGCATTTCTTTATTGTCGAGATGATGACATTTATAACGGGATCAAATCAAAGTGAATGGCCTGCTGCTGCTGAATGCATGGGGCAAGTGACTGGAAAAAGTTTTAAAAGTTATTACATCGTTTCAGATAATACATAATAATGATAATTCATTCTATTTAGGGGCGCCTTTCAAAGCACCCAAGGACACCTTACAATTCATAACATATTCCAAGGAAAGGTTTTAAGACAGTACAAAGAATGCAGTCTGGGTGATGTTTTTTATGTGTGGTGCAGATGAGAGGGAGCTGTCCAGAATGACACCAAGATGTTGTGTTTGAGTTCTTGATAAGCCATTAAAACAGTAAAATACGTGTCTCCTGTTCACCAAAACATACCCATCTGTTATGGAAAAAGAAAGTAATCCAAAAGTATTCTAAAAGTAATCTGAATACATTTTTAAGACACGTAACTGTAACTGTATTCTGATTACTTTCAGAGCATGTATTCAGTAACTGATTACATTAACCCTCCCAACCCTGCCTAGAAGTGATCCTTCGTTAGCGTGAAGAGTCTGCTAAGCTTTATGCGGTCCACAGTACCTAAGCGTGCTCCACTAGCACCCCCCCCCCCCCACTTCAAAATTCTGGGCTATATCAAAATCGCTGGCCCGCGATAGTGTCTATTGGATACATTTTGGCCCTTGGACAAATGTAGTTGGTGATCCCTGATTTACCTGGTAGTAGGCTGTCAGTAATGGCTACGCCTCTCTATTTGGACTGGTAGATCTCGGCAGACTGGCAACTTTAAAAGTAGCTCTCGATTCAAAAAAGGTTGGGCACCCCTGGTCTATACAATAGAAAAAAGTAGCAGATACAACCCGAACCGTCTCCATGTAAACGGGGCCATAGTGTCCTTGCAATTGTGTATGTATAACCAATAACAAATTACATCAAACCTGACTTAATGAGACAAAATGCTGTCAAAAGATGGTGGGATGAGAAATCTTCCTTATTTCCCCTTTTAGCATTTCTTTAGTAACTTTGAGAATTTGCTGCAGTCGACAATTGTTGTAAGGATTAATTTAGGAAATGTAAGCTGTTAACTTTCTTTGTACTTTCTCAGACAAACAATTAAAAGAATGGTGGTTATTCTCAGTACACAGTATTCTGCTCACTGAAGGGGATATCTCTATTATTGATCTTTTATTCTGTTTTCATCTAAATGAGGGTAAAATATATCTTTGAAGCAAAGGTCAAATCTGTTTAAAAACACACAACACGGAGGTTTGAGAGAGTTGGGCTGATTGTTGTGGTATGACAGTGCTGGTGAAGGGGTAACATAAACCTTGGCTGTCTGAAATAATTTGAGCTTGTTGTTTCACAGCTGATGGTGCTTTCACAGACACCCTGCCTGTCTGAAATAAATGCTGTTCCTTAAGGCCAGTGTCCACAAAGTGCCTTTTTCTGAACGCCAGAATGAATAGAAACAATACAAAAGTACTAGAAAAAGGTGCTATGTGGACACAGGCCGTTACTCATGTTTGTTCACTGGAATCTCATGTGATGAAGGTAGGACTGACCCTGATGAAAAATGTCTGTCTCCGAAGTTCTGTTGTAATGTGTTGGAGCGTTGTCTTCAAAGCGGAAGGGCCTCCAGTGGTCACTGTGAGTGTGTGTTCTCCAACCCGGGAGTGTGCATTTTCAGAGCCATTGCAGTGTCCAGTGGCAGACCGTGTTTGCTCTACAGTCTTGCTCAGTTACTCCTATCCTCTTATTGGCAGATTTTTTGTGTCCCACGATGATGAGATCTCATGGTTCTGGTCACATTTGCAGCTTATTCATTCACATGTTGCCCTGAGAACAACCTGAGCACAGCACTAATGGCTCTGTGTCTGTGTGTGTGTGTGTGTGTGTGTGTGTGTGTGTGTGTGTGTGTGTGTGTGTGTGTGTGTGTGTGTGTGTGTGTGTGTGTGTGTGTGTGTGTGTGTGTGTGTGTGTGTGTGTTAGTGATGTGACGTTCGGGAACGATCTCATTCCTTTGAACGGCTCTTTGGTATGACCGAAGGGAACCGAGTCCTACTTGGTGAGAGCCGTTCTTTTTATCGTTGGTTCTCTGCCTGCCATAAATCCACTCGCCTTTAAAAGGAACTTGCTTTCCTGAATGCACATTAGCCATAGATGATGGCATAACGCATGCTGCTTGAGCAGTAGTTTGGCTGCCTGAGAGATGTAGCAAGTTATACATTTTCTGTGAGTAAAAGTAGATTTCTGGCGATACAGGCAATTATCCTGGTGATTATTTCGCAGATAAACATATTAGCCCCGCCCCCTTAAAAAAAACCGCTCTTTTGAACGGCTCTCGGAAAGGAACGAAGCCATAAGATCCGGCTCCCTTCAAAGAGCCGTAATTCCCATCACACGGTGTGTGTGTGTGTGTGTGTGTGTGTGTGTCTCAGTGCTTCTCAGGGTCCCACTCTGGAAGTTTCTTCACTAAGGCCTTATGGTCCACACCCACACTGGCCACCAGGCCTCCTTTGTTGAGCGCTGTGCCGCTGTAGTCGATGTCCTCTCCCTTTAGCGTGGTCATGTGGCCTCCTACAGTCATGGTGATTACATGTCATCAGTACAATGCACAACCCATAATAAACATGCCTTGCAGAGTTCATCATGCTATTAAAAAAAGTTCAATACAAAAGGGCCTTATAGTCTAGTTGCAAGCACTGTGAACCGGGAAATGTTGAGTACCCCAAAGTTTCATGATATAAATGTATAGTGCGTCCCCAGCACATAGAAACTGCCGGATGATAACTTGCATATGTTGGGCAATTTGCACATTTAGCATAAAGTGCGTTAATTAGAATTAAATATCATTATAGCAATTTAAGACAATAGTTAAAAAAATGGCTTGTCCGATTTGGTTTTGGGGGTTATTGAGGATGCTAAATCAATTTCTGACAGTCTCAGGATCTAAAATAGCAGTTTCAACCAGAAAGTGGACATATTTGTACTGTCAGTGGGCTGATTTTGACTACCATGAGTATGTGTTGTGACCTTTTGATGTATAGGAGCACAAGATGAAAATGATTACCTCTACTGTGGGTAGTCCCCTAAAACTGCAAAACCGACCAAAAATGAATCAAAATCAGCCCACAGAGAGTACAAATATGGCCACTTTCTGGTAAAAACTGCCATTATGGATCCTGAAAATGTCAGAAATGCATTCAGAATCCTCAATAACCCCCAAAACCATTCCAACACTGTCAAAATCAAGCCTTTTTTTTATTGTCTGCATGAGCTATAATGCTAATTAACGCAACTTAAGCTAAATGTGCAAATTGCCAAACATATGTAAGTTAGCATCCTGCAGAATATAATAAAATAATAGCTGTTACATTACCTAGAGCGCTCAGTAGTGCTGCACCGGCGCAGATGTCCCATTTCTTAATAAAGGTTATGTGGATGTAAACGTCTGCCTGGTCCATGGGAATGGTTTCACTTGAAGGCATCTCTAAAAGTGACAGGACCTTATATCCTGAGGGAGAGAGAGACAAGGTCCAATATCATTCTTTATCACACTAACGTATGCTGATATAAAGTCCTACACATAAGATTTTGCATAAATCTCTTTACTGTCCATTACAGAGCGAGGGCTGCTCTCCCTAAGTCAAGAATGCTGCGATCCTCTGCTGCTGGTTTGTTAGAGGAAGCTAACTCCTACCCTCTGCTGCCTCAATGCACTCTGAAGCATCTTAAACTGTCACCTGGTTTAGTGTTATTATTATTAATATCATCCCATTGTGCCATTATCTGGAGTTGTAATCACAATGTGCACTTGCACCATCGTCCTTTTAATGCGCTGTTATTGGTAACTGTATTCTATGTGATGTCTATTTTGGTGTCAGTTATTCCAAATGTGTGGATATGTACGCCTTTAGAACAAAACAGCAGGGCTCTCGACTAACTTTTTTCTCCCCCATCCTCCCGGAACCGTCCCGAAATACAATCTAAGCCGTCCCGAAATTAATGTGGACCGTCCCGAATTTAACATGTTAGTTTTTCTACATTATCATTAGTTAAAATCATTCAAAGTGACCTTTAACATAAATAAAACATCACACAAATCATTAGATGATAATTCATCAACCTTTTTATTTGAGTAAATCATTCAATCACATAAACAAAGGCCAAATATATTTAAACAAACACACAAACGAGAAAATTACTCTAATATTGAATCCAATCAAGTCCCATCCAATTAACAAAACAATCCAACACTGTGTCCTGAAGACAGAACCCAGAGTAACCACTAACCAGGATGACAGTCTGTCAGTCAGGAGACCTTTACAAACGGCCCCGCCCCCTCGCACACAGACGGGAGAGAGAGACCTCGCCTGGATTGGAAAGCTCGAAAATACATCATAGATGCATGTTGTAGTCTTATTGCATATTAGAAACGGAGTTGGTGAAACTAAAACTGCGATATAATGTGTATGTAGCAATAATACATATGACATATTTTTTAAATGTCTCCAGTACCGATAAAAAGTCCGATAACGTCGGAGCTTAACGTTACCACTGTCTTTAATAATTCCGGCCAGGGGCCCGTTTAATACCGGGGCTCGGTACCCATCCCTACATGGGGAGAGGCGCAGCATATTGCTAAGGACTAAATACGATGGAGAGTTCTCATCTCAGCCTTATTACCCATAGGGGATGAAGAGGAGTAAGTAAATAAAGAGGCCGGCGCTCCAGGGTCTGGTTCTGCTGTGCGTTTTTGTGATGTAACGGTAAAACATTTCAGAATTCCTCCACGGGATGCCATTGTACATCACTCAACCCGTGAAATACACACACTCAGTACATAGCTAGACCCGCAAATTAGCAGGCCAGGAATTCGCAGGCACAGCCAGCTGGGCGGCTGGCTGACAGCCAGCGGCACAGCTGTAGCTACGTACAGTGTGTGTATTTCGCGGGTTTCTAAATGTTTTGTGCGTGTGTGTTTATGTTGACAAGGAGGTTTAATAACTGTGTGCTACACAAAACGTGCAGTCGGTTTCATTTTCATCGCCGTTTGTAGTAGAGTTAGCAGGGTATTTTTATTTGAACTCTCGTCCCAAAATTATTTTTTATCCTCCCCGACATTATTTTTTTCGGCCCCGGGACGACGGGACGTCCTTAAGCTCGAGCCCTGCAACGCAGGTGTGAAAAAAGAAGAAGTATGGCACATAAAAGATCACAAATGGATACAATTATTTGAACAGTTAATACAAAAATGTTAATAAAAAAATAGGAGTACCAAAGCGATAAAGGAAGTGAAGAGAGGGAAACAGTGTCGTGACATATTTGACTAAATGGCCCATGCTAGTTCTTTGGCAGAGAAAATGTATCTCCAGTACAGCTTTTAACAGTTGAGCTTAAATGATAAAAACGTTATAAAAGTCTTAAAGCTCACCTATTATGCTATATTTAAGCAATAGCTCACGACAGGCCGTGGTATATGCTCATTATATCACAGCCCTTAGCTGCAGGCAGTTTGCTTTTCAGCCCAACTGTATACTGTTTTTCTCAGGCGCGGAGGGATACTGACTTGTTGTGAAAAGTAACTTACAATTCTACCCGTGGTATACGCTCAGTATATCATGGCTAAGAACCAATCAGATTGCTTGATTTGACTTGTCCGTTTTATAATTGAACAATATATTATAGGGCAGTGTTGTAGTGAAGTCACCAATTCACAAGTCCAAGTCACTCTCGAGTCACCACTCTTCGAGTCCGAGTCCAAGTCCGAGTCACCAAGGGAGAGTCGTAGTCGAGTCCGAGTCCAAGTCCGAGTCACCCAAGGAGTGTCCGAGTCGAGTCCGAGTCATCATTACCTGTGTTCGAGTCCGAGTCCAAGTCACCCAAGGAGTGTCCGAGTCGAGTCCGAGTCACCTAAGGGAGAGTCGTAGTCGAGTCCGAGTCATCATTACCTGTGTTCGAGTCCGAGTCCAAGTCCGAGTCACCTAAGGGAGAGTCGTAGTCGAGTCCGAGTCATCATTACCTGTGTTCGAGTCCGAGTCCAAGTCACCTAAGGGAGAGTCGTAGTCGAGTCCGAGTCATCATTACCTGTGTTCGAGTCCGAGTCCAAGTCACCTAAGGGAGAGTCGTAGTTGAGTCCGAGTCATCATTACCTGTGTTCGAGTCTGAGTCCAAGTCACCTAAGGGAGAGTCGTAGTCGAGTCCGAGTCATCATTACCTGTGTTCGAGTCCGAGTCCAAGTCCGAGTCACCTAAGAAGAGTCCAAGTCAAGTCCGAGTCACAAGTCTTCATGTATTAATCTTCGTGGATATATGTGTTGAAATGTAGCTGCTCCTCTACATTGCTTTTATCCTGTCATGTTATACTAATCTGTCTATTGAACTGCTGTGCAGCCAGTTTGGCTACAATTCTTGTAATAGGTGCTATACAAATATAAAGCTTATTACTAATATTAATATTATATATAAATAAACAATCTTTAAAATGAGTTACCTTTTAGAGAAATGATTATATTTGTATGCCAATATTTTCGTTTTGCACTTTTATTTTGATTGTAACAAGATCGGGACTCTTATTTTGAAGGAACTTTTACCGGTTAAATCGGTTTACTGATAAAGATTTTGCCCCAGAAAGCACATGGCTACTTAGCATGCAGAATGACCTTTCGTGTTATCGGCTGAATCTTTATTTATTGATTAGATCACGTTACTCTGATGATAGTGTTCAAGACAGCCTATATGTCTGAACTCGATCCTTAGAGTAATGTGTTACGGAGCCTTCTCTTCAATATTACAAACATAACGAGCATTTTGTGCTGCTCTTTTCCAATGTGGAAGCAGAATGTGTGAAAGCATACAGCACGATGCGGGGTGTGTCTCTAGACTGGAATAGTGGGGCCCAGTACGTGAACTCGCCTCGCAGGTGCACACGCCAGGATAGAGGACATCAGACTCCAGAGAAAATTTGCTTGAGTCCGAGTCCGAGTCCAAGTCGGAGCGTCAATGTACAAGTCGAGTCCGAGTCATCGTGGGGGGGAAAATTCACGAGTCCGAGTCCAAGTCAGCGTGTGCGAGAATTCACGAGTCCAAGTCTGAGTCGCGTCAATCAATGCGTGAGTCCGAGTCGAGTCACAAGTCCAGAAAATCGGCACTCGAGTCCGAGTCCAGGTCTCGAGTACTCCATCTCTGTTATAGGGCCATATCTATAATTCAACCCTGGGGCCCGTTTAATACCGGGGCTCGGTACCCAGCCCTAGTCTGCAATGTTCAAAACAACAGATAAAGCCAGAAATCTAGGTGTAGTCATTAGTGCTGTAGCGACGCGTCGACTTCAAAATATCGTCGACGACATATTTCCGCGTCGACGCGTCGCTACACACACGTGGGTCACCCAAAGCAACAAGCAGTTCGCAATCGCACTTCAAACACAATGGAGACTGAAACGGCTACCACCTCCTCCTCACAGGATTGCGCACGAAGCCCCCAAACGAAAACATCTCGCCCTAGGTCTTCAAAAGCATGGGAATATTTTAAAGTTAGTCCAAAACGCAAAGATATTTATATATTTATATCTCACTGAGACTGCTGCATAGCCTAGCAGAAGCAGCAGCTAGCTGTGGTGGCTACCATTAGCAGCTAGCATTTGCTCTCCGATTTTTACATAAAATGGAATTATGGATTATAAATTCAATCATTTTTTTATACATAGACGTTAAAAACCTATGGATTAACCGATTCAGCCGCGTTTTTTCTCATTTTATTGCCATTGAACACGTCTTTTGATCAGATTACGGTGGTGAGACGATCTCCCGAGAAGCTCTGTGAAGGTACGTGTTGTGATGACTGTATTTGCTTCCCCTGTCGCGAGTCCGGATCACTCAGTGATGATACTATATACCTACATAATCTGTGGAGTCTCAGCTTTAATCGGATATCTTGTATGTGCAGCTACGATAAGTAATAAGGGTACTTTTATCTTGAGTTCTGTGCCAATGTCCGTTAGCATTTTTCGCTCAGGGGTCATTTAGATGCTTCTTATGAGACTTGTGTTTTGTTTTGGTAAACATGGTTTGTATCGTCAGTTAGCTGAGATTATTTCCGTTAATCTGGTATAACACATTAATAGGTTCTTAAATATTAAGATCCCCTGAGACACAGTATCGTGAAAAAAAATTGTTTTACATTACGTTTTTTTTACATTACGTTTTTTATGAATTGAACAACAGAAAAATAATCGTTAGATTAGTCGACTAATCGATCAAATAATCTCCCGATTAATCGTTTTCAAAATAATCGTTTCCCCCCAGCACTAGTAGTCATGGACTCTGACCTGAGTTTCAACAGTCACATTAAAACAGTTACTAAATCAGCCTACTATCACCTAAAGAATATATCTAGGATTAAAAGACTAATGTCACAGCAGGATTTGGAAAAACGTGTCCATGCTTTTATCTTCAGTAGACTCGACTACTGTAATGGTGTCTTCACAGGTCTCACTAAAAAATCTATTAGGAAGCTGCAGCTGATTCAGAACGCCGCTGCTCGAGTCCTCACTAACACTAAGAAAGTGGATCACATCACTCCTGTTCTGAAGTCTTTACACTGGCTTCCTGTGTGTCAAAGAATAGATTTCAAAATACTGCTGCTGGTTTATAAAGCTTTGAATGGTTTAGGCCCAAAATACATTTCTGACCTCCTGCTAAATTATGAACCATCCAGATCTCTCAGGTCTTCAGGGACTGGTCAGCTTACTGTCCCCAGAGTCAGAACTAAACATGGTAAAGCAGCGTTCAGTTATTATGCTCCAAATATCTGGAACAAACTCCCAGAAACCTGCAGGTCTGCTGCAACTCTGACTACTTTTAAATCCAGACCAAAGACTTTTGCCGCTGCTTTTAATTGATATATTCACATCTTAAACTGCACTGTAACTTGTATTATCTTTTCTTTTAAATGAGTGTTTCTAGATATCATTTTATAATGTTTCTTAATGCTCTTACTGTAATGTCTTTCATTTTTGTAAAGCACTTTGAATTGCCTTGTGTTGAAAGGTGCTATATAAATAAACTTGCCTTGCCTTAATCTTGATTATTACGGCTTACAGCTAATGAAAACCCAAAATTCAGTATCTGTCAAACTTAGAATAACATAAGACCAATGAAAACACTTTTTGCAGAAGGCCGACATTTCTGTAGTAAAAATCAGTTTTTGTATTGGTCTTATGTAATATTCTAATTGTTTGAGATGCACCTGTAAATGTAAAATAATCCTGTACAAACTCACCAGCGCCTCCTGCTTCTATGATTGTTGTGGAATTTCCAAAAGCATCCTGAACAAAACTCTTCACTTTCCCGGAGTGGGAACGGGAGACAATGGCCTTGGGGGTGCTGACACTGTAGGAGGACCGGGCTCTCATATTTGACCCCTGACCTACAAACGCCCATGCTGAGGGGCAGAGGACAGGCAGGCAAAGGGAGAGAGAGGGAGAAGGAACTCAATACAGATAATTTTGTGAGGCACATTCCAGGTTTACTCCTTCACAAGTGTTTAATACACACCAGTGGAGTTGTGGAGGAACACACTTACCAGTGAAGCCGGTGAATGGCACGTGTATGACCCCAATGACTGGTTTACCATCTACAGCCACACACACCATGGTGGTCACAAACTTCACCAGATTCTCTATGGAGAGAGAGATCAGCAGATAGAGAGGAGGGAGATGGAATAGAGACTAGACAACCAGAGGACAGAGACAGGGGAACATTTTGTAATTTAACAGGCTGAGTGAGGACCTACTGTCAGTAGATGACCAAGTAAACTCTACTGGCCCCCCCAGTAACAGGATGAATGTTGTAGAGAGCTCTATGGCATGTTCAGACGACTTTCCATACATAGGGGAAAAACAAAAATACCGAAGACCCCGAGTTCTTGGAGCCAACAACCAAAATAAAAATGACACATTTTTTCCTAATATACTTGTTTTGTAGTGGAGGGTGTTTTGTTTGGGGATGATACGTTTGTTGGGATCATGGCACTGTGGGATAGCTTTTCCCCACACCAAGCATAACGGAGTCGGTGCCGTCGGATCCCCGGTGAAAGTAAATCAAAACCAAAGATAACTTTAGAAGTTTGTCCAGGTCCCAGATCAGAGTCTTTTCAAATATGTTTCCATCGCTGTCCATCTTGTCACCGCAATCTCTCCCATGCATCACTAACAAGTTCATTAATGTGCTACCCACTGGCATGGAAGAGTATTACATTACTGAGCCAGCCACTACACTGCAGGCACAGATGCTCAGAAATGACACATTATTTGCAGCAACTAAATTTTTGGTACCAATTAAGTGAAATTGGAGAATTTCCCAAGCACACTGGTGGAAAATCACTGCCTAACACAAACAAGTGCTTTCCAATATGTCTGCTTAAATGATCATGAAGATGAGTTCATGTCTTTGAGTTTAAATGTACCTGTGTATTCCTGTGTAGCGTCCAGAGGATCGATCCACACGGTGACGCTCTCCGCAAGAACGTCCCTACCCCCCTCTACTTTTTCCAGTATGTCGGCTGGAATCTTCCGGCTCCAGGCTGCAGCCTTATCCAGTGTGTTGTCATGTTCCTCACTGTTCACCTGAAAATGAAAACACACACACGAGTCCTTTAGGGCTCAGGAATTAGATGGTCCTCCTCCAATCAGAAGGTCTGTGGTTTGACCCCCCTCATGTAGTGTCGAAATGTCCTTGGGCTGGATACTTTACCCAAAATGGCTGCTGATCAGAATAACTTTATTAGTCCCACAGAGGGGAACTAATACTAAAGGCCAACAGTGTGTGTGTGTGTGTGTGTGTGTGTGTGTGTGTGTGTATGTGTGTGTGTGTATGTGTGTGTGTGTATGTGTGTGTGTGTATTTGAGGGGTCTCGAGGACTGAGAAAGCAGTCTGTTAGAGCCAGTCTTCAGTTTTTGTAAAAAAGGCCAAATATTGTCACCTAATCGTGACCTCTGTAGTCAAGGAAGACTTAACGTAACGTAAAGAAAGAAAGAAAGAAAGATGTTGTTGTTTGTTATTAGTGTGAATGCTGTGCAACAGCATTCCACTATAGTTCTTCTGTTTCTTTATTCTTCCGCTGCTTCTTCTTCTTATTATTATTATTATTTCACCCAATATTTTGCCGTTGAATAACTTCTGTCTACTTTCAGCTACAGAAACCATTCAAATATCGAAATATTCAGCCTTTTCAGCACATGATGGGAAACTTTCAACTTTTTCTAAATATTCAGCTTTTTAAACTCTTTTTTTAACATGTACCTCAATGGGAGGAACCTTCAAATCTTCTTTTACCTACACCGTGCACCAAATGCTACTCCTTCCACATACTTTCAGCTAGAGACTTCATTCCAACTTTGAAATGCTCACAAGTATTGTATGCTTGAATTGTAGGAAAATCTCTCTTAGGTTGAAAAATAAAAAAATGTTAAGCAAAGAACTTCAAGAAAATGCCTCTTGAGGGCATGAAGTGACAACAACTTTCAACATGTCTCCATTAAGGCCCATTGTAAATTCAGCCTCATTTTTCATCACAGCACCAACTGCACACCTTTAGTTAATCTGCTAAAAAAGCCACATTATTGACCCGAAAGTACACAAAGAGCAGACTGAGACGCTCCTCAGAGTCATGGACATGCTTCACGCGTTGAAATGTTACCAATAGCAGCTACCCTTTTTAAACTATAGTTAGAAATGTAAGAGGTTTATTTATCATTCAGAACAATGGAAAGGCTCTCCTTTCACTGCACATCTCCATGGTAACCTTTGATCTCTGGGCTCACACAGGTGTTTGATAACGTTGTCACTAGGGGTGTAACGGTATCCGTATTCGTCCCGTACCGTCACGGTTCGGCACATGCAGTCACACGGCGAATATGCCTTTTTTTACGAGTGGGAAAAAAGTCTGTCACTCAGGGCAGTATTACACTATATATAATCCAGGGGGCGGTGTTGGGCCTAAAAGCCAGACGCCCGTAAATAACAAATGAAGAACAAGAACAAAACACAACAAAACGAACACAATATATGAAGAAGAAAAGTTAGTAGCTATGGCGAGTTCACACAACACACAGGAGCTAGAAGACCCACCTGCTTCTTTTAAATCAGGTGTGTGGGAACATTTCGGGTTCCCTGTGGACTACAACAATGATGAGGTGCGAGTTGTGGATCGGATGAGGACGGTGTGTCGGCGTTGTTCGACAGCGGTGCGGTATGCTGGTGGTAACACGTCAAACATGCTCAATCTCATCCGAGTCAGTCTCAGTCCCCAGCGAGAGGGTTTTCTCGACGGCAGGTGACATAGTTACCGCCAACAGATCTGCCCTCACTACTGACAACGTAGACAAACTCATCTTTTTGAAGAACAACTTGAAAATAGAGTAAAGCTTGAGTACCTTTATTTAGGCATAATGGCCTCACACACTCACAAGTTAATTACACATGTTAGACATTGCTCCTAAAGGTACAGATTGTATTTTGTTTTATATTTATCATTGTATTTATTTTATATTTTGACATCAGGAGATGTTATACAGTTCTGTATTGCCTTTTATTGATTGTGATTGAAACACTTTCTTATTATTTATTTTAAGATTTTCAAGACATTCTTTTTAGTTGTACAGCTTATTTAACCTTTTTGTTTGACATCAGCCAATATAAATAATATGGCCATCTGAGTGTTTGTGGTTTGTTTTTAACTGTGTAATAGAGTTAATGATTCCAAATGTTCGAGTTCCTTATTTTCATACCAAAACTTGCACTACTGTTAAAAATAAATAACAGCAAAAACAAATTATGCATTTGAGACTTTTTTTTTGGTTTTCCTTGTTGTACCGAACCCGTACCGAACCGTGACCCACAAACCGAGGTATGAACCGAACCGTGACTTCTGTGAACCGTTACACCTCTAATTGTCACCATGGTAACCTTTGATCTCTGGGCTCACACAGGTGTTTGATAACGTAGTCACCTCAAACACAAACACACAGACTGGAGTTTAACCAGTTAAGCCCCATGCCCCCGGTACCAGGGGCAAAACGCAACATCTTGCAAGAAACAGCGTCTGAGGGCTTCTTAAAGGGAGGCAATCCTCATGACACGCATTTTTAAATAATTATCATCCGATAAAACAGACCAGTCTCTGCCAGTCTTTTTTTAATTTTTTTTATCCAATGACGTTATCAGTGATTTTAAGCTGATTAATTACCGAAATAACATCAACCCTGTGGGCGGCGCCATTTTGACGAATCACATGACTTATTTTACCGGAAGTGACGTGAACTATGCGTTTGGTGTCGAGGACAAATTGACGTATGTGCTTTGTTCATGTTGTTTACTCTAGTTACTCTCACAATTCTATTCAAATATGCCTCATTGTATCGCGAAACATTGCTAAGAAGAAAGGGCTGTACCCCTCAAATTTACCCACCTTTCATTTATTGGTTCAACCAAAGTGGTGCGTTTCACATCCTTCATGTGCTGTTCTCAATACAGCTTTTTCTAACACCACAATGTCAAATTCCCTGTGTAAACATATGCAATCCCAGTCGTCTGTGAACAGTTTATTTTCAAGCTCTTCAAGCTCATGACAACATATGTTCATAAGAGGATACACACGGCCATGGCTACACACCGATCGCAAGTACACCATTCATGTACAGGTCTCCCTACTCGCCCCCTGAAATAAATTGCACGAGTAAAGGGATCGTCTCCAGCAAGATCACCGTGCTGTTGATCCTCATCGTCACTGTCCCTGGATTCCTGACGGTTCTGGCCACTTGGCTGTATGGCTGAATTCCCCCATCTCTCTCCACATTGCTCAAAACTTCTTCCTCGGCTGACGAGTCCGAACTCAAATACTCCGCCATGTTTTCGTCGAATGAGCTGTTCGTGTGTTTACAAATTGAACGCATAGATGACGTCACGACCTAGTTTTTCGGATCATGTGACTACTGAAAATGGCCAAAATGGCAGCTGCCTGACGGAATATACAGGTTTTGATAAAAAAGAGCTATAAAATCATTATTTACCGGGGAATATCGCTGATTTCTTCAGGGTATGGTTTAAACATAATGTTTCACTAAATACTGAAGTTTGTATTAACTATCTAATGACTGGAGCCTTCCTTTAACATTTAATAAACTATGAATGTGTCATATCCACTTATGGGAAGAAACTCAGCTGTCAGACAATATTAACCATTTGTAGCTAAAGGATACACAAGGGTAATAACAAAGGCTCTGAATTAGCCCTGTGCTAACGCACTTAGCACAGAACTCATGGTAAAATACCCTTATTACTTATCGGATCTGTACAAACAAGATATCGATTAGCAAGCAATAAATAAGTATCATCACTGAGCGACCAGAATTTGCGGCATGGGAAACAAAAACCAGACATCACACCACGTAGCTTTAGGTAGCAAAAACGGGACATTGTCTTACCTTTTGCTGTTTCTGATCAAAAGTTGTGTTCAATGTAATGCTGTCAAAATTATCGCGTTAACGGAGGTAATTAATTGTTTGAATTAATTGCGTTAAAATATTTAACGCATTTAACGCATGTGCAGAATGGCCTGCCCCATACATCCCACCAGTGGCAGCGCCAGGGTATGGCTGGGGTAGGCTACAGCCATACCAAGAAATAGCAGAAAAAATGATGTTAAAGTAAGCAAAATAAAGTCTGCCAACTCCCACGGAGTAAATTGCACAGACAGCAGTTAGTACGATTGATTTCAGTAGCCACTTGTCTGGAAATACCGAAGACCAGAAACGGTTTTGAAAACGTTTGTCACGTAGTGATCGTCTTCTCAATAGAACATCTTTGACAATGTCTTCTGGCCAATCAGAATCAAGATAACGGCGTGGTGTTGTTGCAGGAAGTCCCGACGGAGAATACTTTTGCTGTAGTACAGGGGTGCACATAACTGGTACGCAGGTTATGTGCGTAATCTGAAATGCGTACCGTCACTTGTGTCACAAAGCGCATTTGCGCACCGACGTACTTGTGAAGCTTTTCCAGAAGGCGGTTAGATCACCGGACGACAGAGTCGGTCTCCGTGTGCACAGACAGGGCTGCTGTTAACGTCGGTCTGTACAACGGAATTGTGCCAAAACTACGCCAACCGGCTGCGGAGGGAGACTCCCCCCCTTCACTGGAGAACTGCGCTAAAACAGCTGATCACAACGTTCACACTCTGTGGTCACGAAGTACTCCACTAGCCGCCCCCCCCCCCCCCCCCCCCTCTGTCGACTTTCCTGAAGTACTCCCCGTTGATAGAAATCAACACGTAATGAATTAAGACCCCACGGTTTGATGATTGATAGGTGTGTGGGTTGTCTTTCATTTTGACACGCAGAAAAATGTTATAATAAACATAGATACTGTATGTGTTAAATGGATATATCCGCCTTCTTTCATTTATCTTTCCATTCCCACAACAATATACATAAATAAATGGCATATTTTGGACATAGTTCGAATGGTGATTAATCATGATTAATTAATTTTTAAGCTGTGATTAATCTGATTAAAAATTTTAATCGTTTGACAGCCCTAGTTCAATGGCATTACAACGATAAAAACGCTGCTGAAGGTTGATCCATAGGTTAATCCAATGTGTCTGTGTCACTTTGAAATTATTACTGATAATCCATCTTCATATTTATGTCAATAACGGATATTTCATATTAGCTGCTACGAGAGTGTATGACAGCTTCCGGTTTTGGCCATTCTGGCTACGCATCACTCTATTCACCAATGGGTAATGTTTAGATGGATTTTAGGGACTTCCCCTCGATTCTATTGGCTCTAACGGTTAAAAAGAGGTGTCAATCATCAAAATCGACCGACGGGGGCCAGATATATGGAAAATGCACCCAAATGACCTCAGAAGTGGGTTTCTTTTTCTAAATCTCTCTAAAAAGGTCAAATGTCACTTGTTTTGCATCAATCTTGATACAGGGTACTTATTATATGTTATAGTTTGGATTCCTAAAGCTTTTAGTCTACTAACCCATCATTATTTCAAGGGTAGTTTTCACTATAAGTAAAGTTTTTTTTTGGAACGGACAATATCATTTACATTTTTTTACTATGTTCAATCTGAATTTGAAAAAAAAAAAAATTCTACATTGATTCTGACTTTTCTACATCCAACTCACAGGTTTATCATTACTTTGAGAAAAAAGATTATTCATTTACCCCTTTTAGAAGTGAAAATATAGTCAATTGTTCTGGGAATGTCATTTTCGAGCCTGAGGCCTGAAAAACAAGCTCGGGGCTTAACAGGTTAACAGACTGTCTCAGCCTATCATTTTCTGTCTGATGGAGACTTCATACTGACTTCAACATGTTCCACAAATTGTATACATTATTGGTGACGTTTGGTTTTAGTTCAAAAGTTTGCAGTTAAAATATTCTGATGCTTTTCAAAGCCTTTTTACTTTCTTTTCTCTTCTTTATACACAATCATTCACTACTACTTACATTTAATATGTAACTCCTTCAGCCTACTTTCAGCTACAGAAACCATTCAACTATTAAATTATTCAGCTATTTCTGGACATTGAGGCTATACATGTTGTTGTTTATACCTTTTAAAACATTTTCTTTTAAATATTAAGCTTATTCACTATTTTTCCTACTCTTCCAGTTTAACATTTCACTTACTTGGTTTTTGTAGCTAAAAGCAGCTACAGAGACCATTCAACTAATAAAATATTCAGCTTTTTCTGCATTTTCAGCTAAATTCAGCAACCAATGTACACAGTTTACAGCATTCGCACGCATTTTCAGCAGGAAATGTATTTTCTAGTTTTATTTGACTTTTGCCTTTTTGTTTTGATTTGTATGACAATTCTAAAGGCCTATTTCCTTTGTTGAATATTTGTGGAAAGCCTTTTATTTTATGATGATTACACACAAGTGGCACATCATCGACATATTAGAAGGCAAACAAGTCACTCACCGTGACTTCGGGGAAGGTGTTGCTAATAAGGTTGAACATCTTCCTATGAGACTGCAGGTCGCCTGTAGTCAGAAGCTCATTGGCTCCCTCCTTCGTCTTGCCCTTTGACTTCTCGTTCAGGCTATTTTCATCACGCACCTTCTTCACCTGTGGAGGAAAAAAAGAACAACTCTCATGCTAATACACTGAAAAAACTGAAGTATTGACTTTAATGAAATGTATTAGGTCAACAAATGGCACATAACTGTATCAGGTTAGTTGACAGCAAATATATTAAGTTGAAGCTAATTTTTTATTTAAACTTAGGTTTATTGCTTTCAACTAACCAAAAACAGTTATGTGAAATCTGTTGACATAATACATTTAATTGAAGTTGGTGTACGGCATGAAGGCTCGGATGTAGAGTCATTGGTTCAGATGTGCAGCGCAGTGGATAACTGTATCAGTCAGGAGCTGCCACTGTGGTGCAATAACTCTTATATGCAATATGTACCTGGTTAACATTATTATTAGTTTGACAATTTTAACAGTGGAACAAGAATATTTGAGTAACTCTGCAATATATAATTGAAGCACTGTTATCTAGCTTCTACCACACTGTATTCAGCTGACTGTTAGTCATTTATTTGATAAATACTGCTGCTGCTACTTTTCTAACCGAATGTGTACTTTTGTAAATGTTTATAAAATGTTCTCACAAATGTGTACTTTGTAAATTGTAATTTTTCTTTTAAATATGATGTCCATGCCCTTTATCTAGTAGCGTTGTATTTTTTGTCTCTATCTATACTTTTGCTGTAACGATATAAATGTCCCCTCTGTGGGACAAATAAAGGTATTCTAAATCTGCCCTATGAAGGAAGTGGATAGTCCAATAATATTAAGTTGAACCTAATATTTGTTGTAGTCAACATGTCAAGATGTCCTTGGGCAAGATACTTAACCGGAAATCAAAGTCAACACTATGATCAAACAAATGAAACTTCTCATTCTGAATAACTTAATGGTTCTCGGTTAAATATTTATTCTATGGAAAGAACTTAACTTCTGTTTATTGAGCTGTGAAAGTAAAGTGTTTTTACCTCTGTGCCACCGAGCAGCGCAGCCTCCACTGAGACAGCCAGCAAGTCCCTCAGGTCCACCGTCCTCCGCTGCCTGCAGACACCAGGGACAGAACACGTGATGTTAGAACAACACTAACGGAACTTTCACCTTTCTTCACACACAACCTGATTAAATGTTGTGATCCATTTAAGCTCATGGAAGGTGAATGAGTTGTGTGACATTGTACCTGGTCTTTTCAAATGAAGCCTATATTTTGTGCTAATTCACTAGCTTATAAAAACAAACATTGCCATGTCTGACAATGACAAAGTGTTCGCCCTTAAACTACTGAAAGACATACAGTATAATGGTGCTGCGTTCAGCTCAGCAGAAGGGGTGATCTGATTCAAAATGAACCTTGCAGAAGTCCTGCAACTAACTATTGTTTTCATGAACCTGTTCATTATGTTGTAGATTTCTTGTTTAGCCTATAAAGGATCATAAAATAGTAAAGGTACTACAGGTCTGCAGTGTTTCCCCTAGGATGGAGTCATAGCAGCGGTGCTAAGGCACGCAGGGCCAGCAAAATGTGAGCGCGGAGTGCGTGGAATTTGTTAGTGTGTGTGCGTGCGAAGTGTGCCCCCCCCAATATGTTTCTATGTGTCTGCCAGCACATTTAAGGCTCTTGAGGCTCTACAGGTGTATTTTGCTAAATCACCTTTATTGAACATACAGTAACACAAATACTACACATCCACAAACAATCAAAATAACATGTATGCAATTTAATTATTTTAACCTGCTTTATTTGGGGGTGGGCCTCACATTCTCTAGGGGGGTCCTCACATCCTCTAGGGGGGTCCTCACATCCTCTAGGGGGGCCCGGGGGCATGCACCCCTGAGAAGATGTTTTTTTAAATGTTGAAGTTAAATGCATCAATGAATTGATGGATACAGCTCTCAACACTCAGATGAAAGGGAGCTGTATACTTTTCAATAATCCAAACATCTTTAGAATATGATCACAACAAATCATTTAAACTTGTTTATTCTTATCTTATGTTACCTAGTTAGCATTCTTTCTTTTTATGTATGCATATTTGACTAATCACTCTCCATTTAAACTGTTTTTAATGTTTTACTGTCCTATAGTACACATTGGAATAATTTCTTACTTTCTTTTTTTAAACTATATGAAATAGATAAAGGTGTGCTCTCTAGCTCTCTCTCTCTCTCTCTCTGTCTCGCTCGCTCACAGAGGCTATGTGCTCCTCCATGGCGATGACGCGAGCACCACGTATTATTATTTTAATGTATTTTAATGCTGCGCCGCTGCTGAATGTATATAGGGGAAACACTGGTCTGAGATCATATCTGTAAATGTCTTGTTTTGTCCGTCCAGATATTCACTTATATATCTAATATCTATTTTGTTTTATATTGAAGCATTTTATGGAGCTCATTTATTCCATCATTCTGGGAAAGCAGGTGGAGTTGCGTTTTAGTTTTAGTTTAGTGATGTATGCTAGAAACAAAGAGGAACAAGAACATCTCCAAATTTGCTTGGCTGAAAACAACAGTTTCTCACATTTTTGTATCCAACATTAATCGATCATCAAAATGATCGCATTATATTCCTGTTGATAGATAGCTCTACTATTCTTTAAAGTCTACTTTCAGGCTTCAGTAATCAATACATCAGACACATGTCCGCCTGTCTAAAACATACTATTGTTCACGACCTAGTAAGCAGCTTCTTATCAGAACACTCACATGTAGTAACAGCTCATACAAGACACGGCACACTTATCGATATTCTCCCTGTTCATCAACACTTAGACCGTGGCTGCTGCAAGTATTGTACTTACGTAATACGCAAGTATTGTTTACGTATAATTTTGACATATTCTTACTTTATCTGGGTATTTTCATTTGATATTATTTTATACTTGTACTCTACTACATGTCAGAGGCAATATTGTAGTTTTGACTGCACTACATTTATGTAACACTCATCGTTACATATACATTACACATACAGAAACACAAGATATGCTGATGTGATTTAATGCAGTACTGTACTGATAATCTACACACTGTTTCTAGTATCTAAACTGGACCACATTGACCAAGTACAACACTTAAATGCTGTTACATGTGTAAAAACAGGATTATATTTAAAAACCATAAACATATAATACTGTGAAAGATCCATTGATCCTTGGGTGCATTAAGCTGACAATACTTCTGCACTTTATAATATTATTCTGAAATGGGACATTGTGCAGAATGAGTACTTTGAGTATATTTGACGCCAATACCTTTATATGACTTAATTAACAACCAGGGACTGCAGATGAAAACTAGCCTCTCTTGCTAAATCTGGCACATTTACATGATGGACTTTAGTGCTCATGTTAATTATTTGCATTGTCCATTCTTAAATAAATAAAGACAAAAACAACATTTGGATATCCGGATTGTTTCTTGTTATGGAGTATTTTAAGACCATCATATTTGTACTTGTATTTAAGTAAAGGATCAAAGTACTCCTACCACCACTGGAAATGGGATGAGAGTCTCACCTGAAAGCAGCGATGTGGTTGGAGATGACCCCGGCATACAGGTGGTAGATGACCCCGACCCCCAGCAGGCAGAACAGCCCCAAACCCAGGGGTGACAGCCGGATTCCCATCGGAGACATTGTCCGAGTAAAATATCCTACAAGTTATATTTGAACAAAATAAATAAAAAAACAAAGCCGGGGGCACAGGCCTGGCTAAACAACAGACTAGAGATAAAGCGTTAAACTAGCTGACGTGGCTGTCATACAGCAGGTCACTGGCCACTTCACCTGGCGGATTAATACCGACATGTACGGTTAGCAAACAGCATCGTAATCACAACCTCACACACTGGTACTGGATGTGCATCAACGTGTTCCTATCCAGCCAAATATACCAAAAATATGTATATATAAACGACAGAAGAAAGCGATCGACATGTGTATTTCAGTCGAAAGTCACGCACCCCACGGAAACGAGTTGATCGGGAAACAAGTTGATCCGGAACAGCGGGATAACAGTCAAAAAACAAACGGACTATTCTGGACGAGTTGGCTGGCCGTTTATCATCGTCCGACGTGTCACTGACGAAAATGTACCGAATAACTTGCTGTTCCCTCTGTTTGTCGCGACATTCCGTTAGTTGGAGAGCTTTCCTTTACTCTCGCCGTTAACTTGAAGAGAGCCAGGGGTTCAGTGGTGTCGAAGGCAGAGAGGAACAATCACACCTCTGTTCAGACATTTTGCTCTCCAGCGTTACAGGCGTGACGTCACCGCGGAGAGGTCACTGCTCACTTCTCTTCCGGGTTATCCCTGGGTTGCGGTCGAATAGTCCAAAAATCAGCTCCTAACGTCTATCCCTATCGTCTATCCTCTCTTTTCCTCTCTCCCTCCCTCTCTCTCCTGACAGCCCGTCAGTTTCCTATGCAGCTCGCTAAACTGTGGGCGGGGCTTCAGGTGATTATAGAGAGGCGAAGTCCCTCCCCTTCCGGGAGCCTCCATGGGACCCCGGAAGCGGATAATTATACATTGAAGTCAATGGAGAGAGAAAGGTTATCTTTTGATCCCGTTTGAATTGTGCCACGAATGACACATATGATGTTTGTCAATTTAAAAGAACATTTTACAAGTCAAAAAAATAAAAATGTGTCGTAAAACTGTGAAGTTACAAATTTTTTTGTGTGAAACCGCTCAGTGAACTACAGGTCTCTGGTCTCGCACAAAACGCGTCACCATCACAAAGACGGCCGTCACGTTAGCAAATTTCACCTGTTTCTTTCAGAATGAGGCGAAAAGTATAAAACGAGGTGAACATCACTACAAGTCTGGGCATGTTGAGAGCTGTACATACACGAAAGGGGAGTTAGTCGGTTCTGTAAGAGCAGCGGGACCGGCTTTACAAGGTTTCGGTGAGTAATATGAGTGCAATGTGTAACGTTAATGTCAGCTAGCTAACATTAGCTAACAAGGTACACTAACGTGTTTTGTTTTAGTAACTAGTTTTCTCCTTAAGAAATTCGTGGTCTCTGTGTATGCTGTGGATAACATTAGTGTTCACAAGAACAAGGTACACTCCCGTGTTTTGTTTTAGTTGCTCTTCAGATTGAAGCGGACAGTTTTATATCGACTATACTGTATGTGTGATCTCCTTTTTCTCGTTGTGTCATTTGACTTTATTTGCTGTGTGTAGATTCAAGGATTTTGGTTATCTAGGCACAGCTGTGTGTGACTCCCTCTGGTACACTGGTATGTGTTTTCCTAATGTAGAGAGCATTGATTAATTAATAAACTACACACTGAGTCTAGATCCTGACCAAATCCTTTTTTATTGTTGATCAAATGTTTTTCAAAAATGTATTCATACACATTTAGAAAAATACAATGTACAATCACAACCAATACAGCACAAATTACAAAAAATACAGAAAAAACAAACAATAACAACAATCAGACAAGAGGACAAAACTATGGAAAAATAAACCCTCCCACCCCCAGATCCGGACCATCCTTGTATTATTGCTCATTCAATCTATTATAGCATGCTAACAAATGGTACTTACTTTATTTTTACAGATCTGCATGGGAGACGATGGCACGATGCAGAGCGCTGTCTGTGATTGTGCACTGGGGATGTACAAATGCAGCCACGCTGCAGCATTGGCAATATTTGCCATGTGGCAGATCAGCTCCACAGATGTTGAGTGCCAGTGGAGGAAGCCTGGCACTTAAAAAGTAGTCCAGCCGGTGTCTCAACTTTACCAACAGCGAGAGGAGACATACAACCCACTGGCCAGAGACATCGCCAACTGTCAACTGGGGGGTTGTAAACGAGGCCGAAGGGGTGAAGGCTTTTGTGGAGGCCTATCAAGTGACAGTGTTAGAATCGAGTCTGGTCTCTTTGTGAGTGAGTCGGGTGTTTTGGGAGCATCACCCGATGGACTTGTGCAGCCATCTGCCCTGCTGGAGGTGAAGTGTCCACACAGCCAGAGGAACATGACCATCGCGGAGGCAGTCCAGTTACCATCCTTCTGTCTTCGTGAGGAGGGTGGGTCATATATTCTCAAGGAGAATCACCCATACTGGCACCAGGTCCAAGGGCAGCTGCACATCACAGACCGGAGTCTCTGCTACTTTGTTGTGTGGACCACGAAGGAGGCGATCATCATCCCCATCCCCAAAGACCCTTCATGGCATGGAAATCTCCTCCTCCTGGAAACATTCTACACCCAGCATATGCTCCCTGTGTTGGCCAGTAGAGAGAAGGACATTTAAATAAACATACTCTTAACACCCTCGGACTCTGCGTTGTGTTAGTATGTGTGATGGGGTGTTATGCAGAGGGGAGGAAAACAGGACACAGCAGATTGGGATTGTGGTGGAGATGCTGAGCAGTTATTTAATTGTTGCATGTAATTATTATTATACTGCGTGCTTCTTAGTTATTCCATCTTTTGCTGTAACATGGATCTGTATGTAACTCTATATTTACTTGTTATCTACCACACTTCCTTCTACATCATACACCATCATTATACATGATGGTGTATATAGGATATATATATTTGTATACATATCTGTAAATTGTATAATTTTATTTAAACGTCTTTTTGATCTCTGTCTATAAACACAAACTGAGTAAGATTGACAATAAAGTTGACTTTGAAAAATATATATATTCTTTATGAAAATAGTTGACTGTTGTCAAATGAATCCAAATGAAACGTTGGACTGAACTACAACTATGCCTTTAAATCTCTACGGACTGTTTGTCAGTGGGATGGCAAGTTCCTATCTTTAAACATTTATTAGTTTTTTCTCAGAACAGATTTGATTTTCTGAAGTTAATTTAACTTTGCCGACCATGTAAGGTCATTATTAAAAGGTACAATCAATTTGTTTAGGGTTGACTAAAATAATGAAAAACATTTAATTTGGATAATTTACTGACAGAATAAGAAACTCAATGATGCTCTACTCACCTGTTCCCTTTTTATAAAGTGAAACAGTTGAAACGATAGATTTTAGTAAACTTAAAAACAACCTTCTCCAAAAGCTATCAAGGAATATACCGAATACTTGTTTTAGAACTTTATTACATATTTTTATATAAATAGTTTGAATGATCCATAATTGACAGAAGCTTGTGTTTACACTGACCTGTTACTCATATATTAATGTCTTTGTAACTTCAGTAAACCACTACCTCACTAATTTATTTCATTCATCACGGTTCAGTAAACTAAGTGATACATGAACCAGTTTAATCATTATAATAACGTAGGATTGCAACTCTTTGAAACTGTAGGTGGCTCTTAAAAGAGGCGTTGTGTATGGGTGTGCTGGTCTCAGGTCAGTCTAAGCCCTCTCTCCACGGATGCGGCGGGCCAGCTGGATGTCCTTGGGCATGATGGTGACCCTCTTTGCTTGGTTCATCTTACTGGGGGGCAGGGCCGCCCCTCCCTACAGGCCAATCACGCAGGCTGCATGGGGCCCCGCCTTGCGCAGGGGGCCCCGCCCCGAGGGCCTCAGCTGCTGTGCGCAGTTCTCCGCTCAGTTCTCCACGCACCCCCCGCGAGAGTGAGAGGTGAGAAGGGGAGCAGTGGGCACATGTGTAACCCGACACCGTTGCAATGAATCGACATCTGACCAATCACGGCTTTGATATGGCCACTAGTGCAGGTGAAGAGATGTCGGTGAAAAGACAGTTTCAGTCCGGCACAAGCAAGAGGGGAAAAAAACAAAACATGAAGACACTAGAGCATCTTGAAGGTGGGTTATTGTATGAGTCAAATGTACAACTTGCGAATGTTGTATAAGTCAAATTGCTAATTGCCATATTAAAACATCAGCTGCAATTCACGACATGAAGAAGGCAGTCTCTGCAGAGCATATAGGCTAATGGAGATGCAGTTATTTCCAGCATTCTTTATTTACCATTCATTCAAGTATGTGATGCCTTTTATCTGCTAATGTACAGGAGGAAGAGAGATACACTGTCTGTCTACTTGGCTTACATAACAGTTAAAGTTTACAGCCTAAAAAAACATGGAGCATTCTTTCCCCTTTTATTAATGTTTATGTCAATTTGCACATTTCATGGTGACGCTCAGCCTCTCCCCTTAACTCCTAACAGTCATCATCATGGTGACGCTCAGCCTCTCCCCTTAACTCCTAACAGTCATCATCATGTCAACCACAACACAGAGAAATACTGATATAAATGTGTGTGCAGTTGTTGACACATTGCTGACAGAGGGAACTATGAATACAGATTTAAGAAATATCAGTTTTTGAGCATGTCATAAGCATGTTTTGTCTTGACTATTACAACTATATTATTATAAAATAATATAGTATTTATATAATTGATTATGATTATTAGTAGAAGTAGTTTATGTTGAAACTTGTTGTGTGCCGTGTTGGTCAGGACTCCCTGGAAGAAGAGATCTTGTATCTCAATGGGACATTCCTGGATAAATAAAGGATAAATAAAATTAAAAAAATTATTTGCATTAATTATATTTTAATCTTTTTGAGGCTAGTATTTGGCAGGAAATGCAGACGCACCTGTAAACGCATACTGAACGACATACATGCACATTTACCTCACTGTATAAAAAAGTAACTGTTGATAATAATAATAATAATAAACAGGAATTATATTTGCAAAGTAGCCTACTTTGTTTCCAAAACAAAATGTTTCACTCCTGTCGGTTGGGGGGGGGGGGGGGGGGGGGGGGGGGGGGGGCTCATCTCACAAGTTGGCCAGGGGCGGCCCTGCTGGGGGGCAGCTACATGGATGTCGGTGCAGTCCACAATCATTGTGCAGTTGAAGGCAGAATTAATTTATTATTGACTCCGAATGAAGCACAACTTCATGTCATACAATACAATGACTTTATTTGTAATTGTGTAAAAAAATATGAGCATTGATTAGCAAGCAGGACCTGCAGGAACAGAGAATGGTGATGGATGGAGCTGGGAAGAGAGAAGAATAAAGAAAACAGATCAACTTTATTATCGGATATTAAAAATTCAATTTCAAAACAAGTTGCCGCTCCTACAGTTTTCTAGTATGTAAAGATGATTTCACATGACCTATGCAAAATATCACACTCAATACATGTGTGTCTCTGGGGGGTGCATTGTACCTTTGATGTACATAAATAATATACCATAACCAAATACTATTACGTACAGTGGAAATCAGGTTGCCAGAGCAGGTCAGTGTGCATGTTCCTCAACGTCTCAGCAGTTACAGGTGAGGTAAAGAAAATAAAAGAGAAAAAGGTCAGTAACAACACTTTGAATAATTATCTCTTCTAACAATTTTCTCTCAATAAGCACACAACGACTGTCTTTCCAACAAACAGATTGACTCACCCTCACTGTCATCACAATGAAACACGTCCAGAAGAATGTCATGCAAAGC